TTTTGAACAAAAATGGCTGACCCACTCTAGAATAAGGTCAACGACATCAATTTAACATCAGTTAACTTCCTCGGTTAAGGCAAACGTCAAAGCACAGTTAAAATATTTGGTACGCCAAAAACGTCCATAAAAAACGGTATAGGGTTCCTGACAAGGGTCGGAAAAGGTTCACGTGATACCGGCAAAGGGCCCACACGATAATATTGAACGTTAATCATTGGTTATCCTGCTACAAAATTGTAATAAGCAGAAAACCCTACTAAACAAAAGAGCCATTAAAAATCGAAGAGTCGGTACTGATTTTTCACGAAACCATAAAAGTATCAATTATAAGCAGAACTGAAATATAACATTTAAATAAAAAAAAAAAAAAACTATTCGAAATTTAAACAAAGTGCGTACCTAATCATATACTACAGCCGTAGAGGAAAATGTTGAGAAAAAATTAAGTATTTCCTTCACTGCTTCGTATTTTTATCCAACAATAGAAGTTAGTGGCCCTTCCAAAAATCACGTAGACTTCATAATAGGTTGCCGAGTCCCACTACAACCCTTTTGGGTTCACACCTTAAAGAAAGGTTAAGTATCTACAAAGCTACACAGCATACATACCTAATACAAGGTTAAAATATTCTCTATCACATTATTGTCAATTCTATTACCTAAGAAACAAAACACTTTTTGCTATCTTCACAAAAATTGCTCTGACGTCATCGCCGCCATATTGAAAGCCGTTACACGTTCAAATCACGATTGTTCCAGAATGTTCTGGTGACGAATTTTCTCGAATATTTCAGCCGAATCGGTAAGTATATGGCGAAATACGTTAGGGAGTACAAGAATAACGTTACCTCGGGCATTGTGAATTGGTATGTAGATGCGGAACGACAATTTTATACGATATCTTTTGTGTTGTAAATATATCTGGAGAATTTCATATTTTATCATACAGATGTTAGGTTTACATTGAATACTGGATGTGCTAACGTAGCTTTATGTAAAAGGTTTCTCTATTCTATATGCTCCATTTGAGTTTCAATACTATAACATAGAAAAAGGAATTTCTTTAAAATTATTACCTACTTTATACCAGATAATGTAATATGTATAAATGAAACGGTAATGACGTCTTACTTAAAAGTAAGCCAAAATACTAAGAGCTTTTACGAAAATAAAAGCGGAAATGTTATTAAAAGTGTCACTTAAAATTGTCTTAGACACAAAATTAAAGTAGGACGGAGACCACTAAAAGCTTATTTACGGTCATTATCTAGTATACAGCCTGTAATGGTGGGTAGATAGCCATCATTATCCCGGAGGCACTCTGATACCTGATCAAACTCAATTACAGGGACCATTACTGAAAATGTCTCTGCTGAGTACCTTAGCTTTTCGACGTGGTTGGTTACTTATATGGGAATTGCGAGACCCCTGTGGTGACTAAAATTAAGTGACAACGTTGATGTTAAAGCGTTGACAGTAAACCAAAAAGAACTGATGAATTTCTATAATTGGACTAATAATTAAGGCTCAATGAAGAAAAGGAGCCCACCAGTTTCGATGGAAGCTATTCAGACAACTCAATCAATATAAAATCTATAAACAGCTCAAGTATTCGAATCAAAACCGAAAGATACGTAAAGTAATTGAGCATTCTCTGTATTGAAAATCATAACTGAAAATAGAAATATCATTTATTGAAGTCTGAAAGGACAAAGGACAGTTCTAGGAATCAGATTCGTATCGTTACCGCCGACCGAGTCCTTTCGTGAAAAACGATGCCTTTTGCCGTTGAATATGAAAATGAAACAATATTCCGATGTGAATGAAAGCCTCCGGATAAAAGCCGATAGGAGCTTTAAGGCTTTTGCGGTGACGTCAACGGCGTTTCACTTTCAGTCCTGATTTCGGTATTGTAATTGTATTACTGAAATAAAACTGGAGGCTATATTTTTACTTCAGATAATGAAGGATATTTTGCGAACACAATATGACTTTTTACTCTATTCAAAAAGCAGCTTAAACTGTCAAATACCAAGCGGTCACCGGTGACCGCGACCCATTGTTCTTTAATTGTGTCTATAAAACCGGTACTCGACGAGTTAATTGTAATATCCTGATAATCCACTTTTGCTAAGTCTTTATTCACGCCTGAAATCTACAATACATCATAATCTGCGAGGACTTCTCCCCCAGCACCCAGTCAAACAGGACACAAAGAACCGTGACATTCGAGAATCGTTCCAATATTTAACGAGTCACCTTTTGTCTCGCCATCTTTGTCTATCCGTCTGTCACAAAGCTAGAAGGGGTACAAAGACCCCTTGCGTCATACCCGCATTATGCCTCGCCCTAATTCTCCCAGACCTGGCTCTACGCCAAATAACACACTCATGAGGCTTTCCAACTGCTCAGGAATTCACACTGTCTCAGTTTCCACTTGAGAGTAATCGAACTCTGTGTTTTGCAGTGTCAACTACAACGTGTAAAAGTTTTGTGAAAAATGCTCTTGTTTTCAGGAAATGCATTAAGTTAATGACTTGGAATTGTGAACTCAGTTGAATATTTACTGCTTTAGTTTCTACATTACAACTCTGTTGGTGTCTCTTGAACTGAATTGCAATATCTTTTGTACAATTTCCGACATGACTAGTAACGAATATAATTATTATTATTCTAGTCTGTTTCTTCGTTTTATCAGCTTCCCAGCAGCTTGCCAATGCAACGTCGTTATGTCTAAACTTCAATCTACTCATAAGAAATTAATTTAATTATAAATCTAGTTTCTGGTTGTTTTGTTAATCTAACTAGTGAACAGAACGACGAAGGTTGTTCATTGAATTTCTTTTTTGTTTCGTAAAAAAAGTTTGTCAAGATCTTACGTTGGTGGGTAACAGTAAAACCAAACCATTTCAATATCTCCCTCAAAAACTTAACAGACGTAACCCAAACTAGGAATCATGACGAAATTAATTTATGAAACAGAACACTTCGAGAACATTCCATAAATTTCTCAATCTTGAAACCGCCACAAAAAACCTCGACGAAATCTGATATCCGATAACTCATTTCTGGCGGTTAGAAGTAATCCAAAAGTTTTTATCTCTCGACGCACTCGTCTGAACCATCCGAGCCGCAGTTTTGTTCACGGTAATGACTTTCTTATCTAAGTTAATTAATGGACGCCTTTCAGAGAGTTTCATCAACTCTTCTAGTTTGTCTTCGAGGCCCAACATCATTAACTGCTAAGAACTTTTATTACTTCAGGGCATTGCTGCTAGAAACTAATTATTTTCTAGCAAAGACATAATTGTTGTTATCAATACTACATCGGGTGTTAATCATAGTTTTAAAGGACGGTTGACTTACATCTTTTAGCAATAAGGCTTTTTTTAAGGGGGGAAAATCATCGAATGACTGCTCCCGCCTGGGTGAGGCGGGAGGGAGTGTCAGACTCTTACGGACTAAAAACCACCCCGTTCCTTCTCCTGCACGTCGAGCCGGAGCCCCGGTTACCCGTTAGGTTCTCCGCGACTAGCAATAAGGCTTGATTGATTATAATCTCAAGGAATTATATTCATAACAGGTGTTCAGTTGAAGTCACTAACCCGAGCCAAATTAAATCACTTTAATGCATCTATAGTGTGTACAGGATGGTTTACATTTTTTTGACAAAATGTGTTTCGACTATAATGGCCCCTTTGGGCACCGCAAAAGTACTTACTCCATAGGCCTTCCTATGGCCTTCCTATGAATTCAATTACATGGCAAAATTCACCCTGAAAAATCCATAACAACTAATATTTCAGTAACTCTCTATAATTTAAACCCAAAGAACGAAACGACGAAGCTTACAAAGAAACATTATGAAATATACAAGTTGGAATAACTACAATAATGATAATATTCCAAGTTGAACAATATTTTAAGTTAGATTAAACCGAGCGGATGGAAGAACTGTTCGGTAGCTGAACCAGTGAAGTGGAAACCCAACTCATTGTAACTAACTGTTGCAGCTGATTGTGTTCAGAAACTCAGTTTATATCCGTTCACAATGTTGGAATTTAACTTGCTTCTTCTCTACAAGTTATATACTTTAAAATATATTGTAGGTATCTGCACAATAGTCTCACGGCACAAGTAGCGTTTGTTCAAAATCAGTTCTGGAAAATCAGAAATCAAGAAGTTTCAAATAAAATGACAGCCATAGCACTTAAATTCAAAACACACATATCTATTAAATAATTCCAGACAATTGTAAGTAAGAAGGGAGCAGTTGCCAATCGACAATTCATTGGCATAAGTAAGTCCTAAAACAAGGCTGCCAAAATCCTAATAAGTATACTCTGCCAAATGTCTGTAACTTGGCCACATACAGGCATAAATAAAAATAATGTGTCTGTTCCCAGAAATTCTATAGCAACCAATTTACATTTTATTAAAGCAAAAATTGGTACATCTATTAATCTTGTCGGAGTGTCTAGCCTAAAAACGCCTGAACAAACGCGAATGGATTTACGCAGTACGCCAAGACTTATTGTGTGACTATTGTACACTGGTTTCATTGTCATAATAATATAAAGGACGGTGTAATTGACATTCGTTATCTTCACGGTAACAAACTGTGGTGACGACAAAACAACGCTTTGTTCTACCCAACGTTTGCCTGAAATAATTATACCATACAACTAGTTGTTATTGGGGTATCCTATTATTGAAATTCAATTATGAGACGGAAAATTCAAGCCAAGCGAATAATAACTTTCATGGAATTTCTTCAGTAGTCAAATAAAATATAACAGCCCTTTACTGAACGACCATTTGGCCAAAAGCCTCGAATAAAACGTAACGTTACCAGTGACCCGACCTCAATGACGCCATTAATGAACGCATAGCAACACGCTCGCGACAATTCTGTAATCTATCGAGAGCAGAGCAATCAACCCGGTTTACTTAGGCAAACAGCCCGTGAACCCATAATCGCACCCTGGGGGACACCATCACGGATTTTCATATAACTGTATGTAAAGTAAATAACACTTGGTTTTGGTTTAAGGAGAGATTGGTTATGGTTATAGTCGAGGGTTAGTCTGAACAGTCGTTTAAACTGTAATGAACTCATACTGCTTGATAACACAATAGTATCGTTTTCAACAACGAACAGGGCAGACAATGATATATAATCAATTAATTAAACTGTTAACATAATAGTCGCCACTCATTTATAAGTACATTGCGTTTGAAGATCGATACTCTTTGTAAACAGAACAATACAGTAAATGACTGATCCCACAAATAAACACTTTTTAGGGTAATTTATAGTTTGTCTAAGGCTTTCGATAACCGTGACATCAATGTTATGTGTATTTTCTTTGATTTTTTCAGAATTGTTCACAATTGTCTATTGAAATACTGCCTCGTTGGCCGAGTGGTCGCAAGTGCGACTGCCGGGCAAGGGGTCCCGGGTTCGATTCCCGGGTCGGGCAAAGTATTACTGGGTTTTTAAAAATCTCAGTAGTAGCACGGAGTCTGGAATTGTGCCCGGTATATGGCAATAGGCTCACCCCCTATTACATGGGACTCATAACATAAATAGTGAAAAGTGGGTGTTACATTGTACAGTGGCATTAAGTGCCGTAATGTGCACCTCTGCCTACCCCTTCGAGGATAAAAAGGCGTGATGTTATGTGTGTGTGTGTCTATTGAAATACGGTATAAATTCCCATGTATCTTACAGCTAGCTACTTACATTTTCCTCGACGGTCTTCTTGATCTTGGCGCTGGCCTCGCTCACTTTAGCTCCAGCCTTATTCACGGCGGAGTACAAGAAGTTGCCCAGGGACTTGGCTCCGGCAACCGCCTTGGTTGTCACTGCGGAATTGGATCACGTTGAAGATATCTTGGAGAATTATTATTAGTATTATTGGAAACCTCAACTATACTATTACCTTTGTAAGTAATTTTCGCAGTTGAGAGAGAATAAATAAGATAGAAACTTATTTTTTGAAACCTATTTTACTCGAGTTCAAAAATTCTAGATGTCGTGTAAAAATAGTGTTGTCTTCAAACTTCTTTTTCAGAGATATTAATTTAAAAGCACTTAAATCATGCTGAATTTAATTAAACACTTTTCTAAGAAAATGTTCTTTGTGAATACTTCAGTACAACATTACAAAGAATCCTAAAAGAGGGAATTTTCAACCCGATCCTTTTCGGAAAAACAATTAAGTAAAACATAAAATAAAATGTAAAAGGAAAAAATCAACTAGTTCCACCGTTTCCCACAACAGCGCGTCCCACGGAAAAGCTCGGAATTTTTTAAACTCGCCACAATAGGCGTAAATCGCACGACCAATTTTGAGTTTTGCATTTTTATCACTTTATTTCATGACAAAAACCCGTACAACAGACACGGAAATGTTCAAGCAGAAACCGCAAAAGCAATCTGGGAAACCGTAAAACCAGTTAAAGGCAAAACAAAAATAAATGAAAACAAAATTACTAACACTCTTGCATATCAGGTACTTCAATAGCATCAACTGTAAACATTTTTCTACTCTGGCCACCTGAAATTGGGAAATAAAACAAAAAAATAGCAAAACTACAAACAAAAAGTATAACAAAACAGAAAAAAATGTAGCGATAAGTCACAAAATAAAAATATGTTGATATTTTCCGAACACGAGCAATTGATCTTTATTGAAAATCTGTCAAGGGTATGTAAAAATAAATTCTTATATATTTTTACCCTATTCCAAAAATACATAGTAATATCACAAATGGAAAAACTACCTTCAGTAAAGTAATGTTGTTATCTTGAACGATTTTTTTATTAAATCGAAATTTCATTATGAGATAGGTATACGGAGCAAGTAATTCAGTTGTGCATCGAGTTTAATGAATAGTTGCTTACTTACGTTTAAATTAAACCCATGTTAAACTGAATAAAGTGCTATTTTATTTGCAAATCTCACGATAATAACTAGACAGATGCCTGTGTAGTTGAACTTCTATATAATTCCTGTACTATCTACATTTACAAAAGGGCTCTAGCTAAAATAGTTACATACCGTTTCCAACGCCTCCAGGTTGCTCCTCAGTGGGGGTGCCGCCAGTAGAAGCTGGCCTGCTGTCCGCCCCACCAGTGGCGCTGCGTCCAATCACATCAAGTTAACGATATAACAATTAAAACTGGGTCCTCCTACGATACGAGTTACCTATTAAGGATCTTTGGAAAGTGAAGAGAGGAGCATCAGAAGACCTAACAAATCTAAGAACCTATGGAGTTTAGATAAGGCTACTTATATTTTTCACAAGGTGACTTCAAGTCAGTACATTCGAATCAATACCTTAAATACGGAGAATTAAGAATTAGATATCACCTTACCTAGTTAAGAATTAGAACGTACTATAAAATGCAAAACCATTTCAATGTAACTGAACTAATTCTATGAATCAAAAAAATGGTAGTACATTTCTTCGTAATCACAATTATTGTAGTTACTAAAGGTTTATTGCCGTGCCGATCATAAAGAAATTCGTAATAAAAAGCTTTAGTTAGTTACGTTAAAGAGAAATGAGCACCTAGTCTGAATTCAGAGTTGCGTGGAAAATCAATAACAGTAATATATTCAGGGCCTCGCTCGATATATTTGCGACCTCGATCTGCAAGCTAAGCACAAACTTGAAGCGAATGATCCGTATATTGGCCCCTGACATTTACGTAATACCCTCTCGGTAGAGGCCGATGGTTTTTACCTCATTTATCGCATGAATGAGACACGCCTCTCGGGAGATAGGTATTACACTAAAATATGATATTTCCCGATCAAATTATTGGAAACGGACAAATAACTGTAGCGATCTAGTTACTAATTTAATATGGAATCTTACGACTCTACGAGGAATGGTACACCCACGTTTATATCAATTTAGAACAATACCTTTTCTTCATTAATGATTCTTTTCTATCCATTTTTAATCTAATTAAACAATAAGAAATATTTTATAACATTTGTTATATCGATGGCTGACGTAAATCTTTCGTCGTGTAACCGATACACGAGTATTAAATATTTTACAGCTGAGAAATGGAAATAAAAACGGCTTAACTAATAATGCGCAGTAAACTCCTTATCTAAAACTAGAGAGAGGTTGTTATAGTCTAGCCAAATTCGCATATAGTGAAAGAATCGACTACCGATTAAACTTTTTCGCGAGAGAATCGACGGCCGTGTTAATGGGATAATTTCTGGTATGCGAATCTGGCTAGATCAAAAATAGAGATTATTTAAAAACAGTAGGTACACTAAAAGAATGCACAACAACAATGAGAAATTAAAAATGGGGTTTGAGCAGAATAAATGAGTAGTTGTATAGTTTGCAAGTGCAACTACAAAAATATGTTCAAATCTGTGTATTGTCTTCTAATGTATTTCTAAGAATCAATTAAAATTATGAAGTAATTGTTCCTAAGATTATTATTTAAGAACTTTGCTAAAAACTCAAACTTGATGTATTTGTAATGCAGTTAGTCATGATAATGTCATGAAACCAATAAAATGGTTGAATTATTATAAGATTCTGATTATTTAGGAAAATAAATTTCAAGTGTAATTTTTATGTGAGATGTGCCGAAAAGCCATGAAAATAAATTAGTGATTAAAATAAGCAAAGCAAACTTGTTTATAGTACAATTTTGAGGTGCCGTATCAAAGCATCAGTGTCGTAGACAGGCTTAAACAGATGATACAATTTTGTGTTGCAATAACTTGTAAAACATTAAATTATAACTGAGTATTAGGGTTGGTGTATTGTAACTGATAAAACTACTACTATTCAAGATTATTTCTTTATTATATCTTATCATTATACCTAGTTACCTGTTAGCTTCTTTGCTACCTTATGTTGTTCTGATAAAACCTATTCTAAATCTATAAAGTAGCTTAATATTTTGTTTTGCTGCCAAAATGCACCAAAATGTTTGCTGTAAATTTTTCCCTCCGTAAAAATAATAACTTCCAAATTTGAAAATTATAGACCAGCAACAATACACCAATATGAGAAAAAGAAAAAGCGTAACATAATTTTGTTCCAACTCATTACATCCGCCAACCCCTCGTACCTATTATACCTAGAATTATCATCATCATCTTTGCCCTCAGGTCTTGGTTCCACCGCCTCTGCTGGTTCCACCGGTGCAGGCTCAGGTTCTGCTGGAGCTGGCTCATTTTTTCTAAGACCAGGAATTGGGATCCCAGAGCCAAGCCAGCCTGTCATCTGTGACTTGACATTGGTAATTAGGTCCAGCTTACTGCCTCCTTTTGTGGGACTGTGAAAAATAAAATATTTTAAATATGGAATTAGGTTTTTGTATAAAATTTTGTGTGATGATTGCTATTCCTTTTGTTTTAGTAAAAGGAAATCAATTTTTCCCAACAAAATGTATTATTACATCATTATGTAATAATACATTAATTTGAATTCATTCATTTTTTATCCTAGAAACTAGTCTAAAATATTTATTTTTTCAAAGATTAACTAAATTAAAATAATGAATTCAAAGAAGCACATTCATTTCAAATGGAATCCAAATGGCCAAGTACTTGACCTAGATTAAACCTCATTGTTTCTAAAAATCAATAATCTACGAAAACCAACAATTTTGCATAAACTAATTAAATTCTCGTCGTTAAAAGACTGCGCGACATTGAAATCTAATCAAAAATCAGTTATGGATTGTCTATCTATATACAAAACTTAGAAACACTTTGGATACAAAATGTAACAAGTTTCGAGTCAAGTACTAATGTAAATGAAAACTAAGTCTTACGAAATAAATTAATCGATGCATACCACAAGATAAAACCAAGGTAAAGAGAATGTAAACAAAAGAATTCCATTACCTTAACTTTTCGCCTTCTGCCGTCGCTGCGGAGGCTTCCCCAGTCGCTTCCTTCGTTGGGGTTGGGACTTCCTCATCTTGGGGCTCGCCCTTAGCAGCTCCCATCCACGAACTGACCTGATTAGTGAGTCCTGAAAACATTTTCACTGGCACTAGCTAATGCAACAACTACACAACACAATCACTCAGCGATTTCACTACGCTGCGACAGATTCGCACATGACCCGCGACACGGACGGTCTGCTATGCGGCTGTAGAAAGCGTGATCAGCTGAAAAACTAAATGGAAAACCACGATCGACCAGGGAAATTGAGGAAGAGTCCACTGCGCATGAAAACTTGCGCTCCTGCGCTATTTACGCTTTGTACATGTATTCACACGAAGCAACAAAGTTTGTGATGGTAATCAGATACGTAGTGCCTTGACATACGGAACAAAATGGCGTGAATGTTTTGCAACATATGGTATTGACTTGGGTGCGGTACGGTTGACGTCAAAAATATGTCAAAGCATAGACTGCCGTTTCCGTTTACTCCATTTAACACACAACTTAAAATTTTAGTTTCCGTAATCAAATTACTAAAATTTAAATAATGCTTTTTTATTCTAATTAAATGGTAATGTAGTAAATATGTAAAGTTATTTCAGTTTATATGACTCAATGAAACGAATGTAAAGTCAAATGTTAGTGTTTTTTATATATAAATTGTTAGTGTAAAATATATTCCTCATATTGAATAATTAAATACATAAAAGTCATAAATGTAAGCTTTCTAATATTTATTTGTTGTATAATTGATTATTTCTTGTTAAAAGAACTACTGAATACAATCTCCAGAATACACTTGCGTATAACGAAACATCGCTTTAATTCCATATAATCTGTGTAGTCTGTATTGAAAATTGGCAAATTAAAAAAAAACTTGACATTTTCTGATTTGATTCACAATTTTTGTTTGCAGTGAATTTTTACAACAATCTCTGTGTTTTACTAAACAAATGTAGGAATCCGTAGTCCCGGAGACTTTAAATTACGGTAGTACCTCGATTAAGACGTCAGGGTGTGCAAAATTTCATCATGACAGAAACACGAAAATTACAACTTCACCTTGGAAAATGTATAGAAGATTTGGACAAATTACACAATGTACCAGATTTGAAGTCAAAAAGAGCTAATTTGTAAGTATTTCCAGCTTTTTCCACTAAGAAATCTTATTAGAACACCAAGAAATGTATTAAAACGGTAACTTTTGTTGTAGGTTATGCAAAACAGCTCTAAAATTATTTGAAAGTGCTGAAGAGTCCCGTGAGAAGGGAGATGAGGAGTACTCTTATGTTTACTACATGAAATACCTCCGGGTGATAGCTTACATCAGCAAGGACAAGGACTATCTGAAGGATAAGACTTATTACAACAACATGTTGGGCCCTAAGAACCCGAACAAGGCTATTGATCAGGCTGAAAAGCTTAAAAACAGCCTCATAGACAGGTAAGGTATAGTGAATATTGTTTATGATAAGAGTTGTTGTTACTACTCTACTCTACAGAATTTACATAGGACATCTCTTATCAACAAACGATAAGCACTGAGTCACAAAGTAAACAGTGTTTGATTTTATTTTTTAACAGACTGTCAAAGCTAGTGGTTGTTTTACAAAATGGTGGAGTTTATTTACAGTGAATTTGGTTTAGTGGACCCTCTTGTATTCAGTCATATTGTTATATTTTTTTATCTGAAATGGTAACTAATTTTATTATGTTGCACTTCTAATAAGATTTTATTAAATTTTTGTTCAGTTAAATAAGTAGTGTAATCACAATATTTTAATGAAAACATGTGATATATATATAAGAAACACAAACATTTGGCTAAATATATGAAATTTCAACAGCAACTTCAGTTTATGAATTATTTTCTTAGAAAAATAAACAATCTCAGAAAATTGGTTACAATGATGACATGAAAATATGACAATACTTTATATTCCAGGTATCAGCAGGAACAGAAAGAGAAGCGACTGAATGATATAAAAGAGAATGAGCTTATAAAACAGAAGATAGATGAGAATAGGAAGAAAATGGCCGAGGCTGCTCCCGTCATAGAACCACCACAGCCACTCGGACTACCAGGTATGTTCTTATACCAGTAGTTCTCAACTCGTAGTATATTTCTTTCCCTCACCTTAAGCATTCAATGTATGTCAGAGAAAACGTGCCCCATATGACAAAAGATTGTTAAATTACACAGAAGAAATAATACAACTACTTAATAACACACAAATCTTTTATTTGTAATTGGTTATGCATGAGCAGTTTCATATGAATCACCATACTAGACTTGTCAAAGTCATTGATAAAATGATAAACAAAATAGTGATTAAAATTAATTGATTTATGTGTGATAATCATTACCTATGATTCATATATACCTATGTATTAGATTAATGGTTCATAGGTTTTTATTTTCTGTTGACAATTATTTGTTAATATATATATACATGTAAGCTTATGCTTAGCAACAAATATTTAGCTATTGGTTGTTGCACAATGCCCTTTTTGGGGGGGGGGGGGGGGAATCATCCAATGACCTCTCCTGACTGGGTGAGGCAAAAGGGAGTATCAGACTCTTACTGACTAAAAACCACCCCGTTCCTACTCCTGCACTTCGAGCGTATTCGTATCGGCATCAACCCTGTTGGGCCCCATCTGTGGTAATCTGATGGCTCCTTGAGGTACGCGCGGAACGCGACGCGCCGTACGCGACGCGCCGTACGCGACGCGCCGTCCGCAGGCCCGTGCTTACGGTGGCCAGAGATCGTCTCGCGATCCCCGCAGGTTTAATGACAGTACAGGGACAAGTCATTTTGTGACAAATATTGATCTGGGACTGTGTGTGATGTATGTACAACAGTTGCATAAAAAATCATGAGCTGTTAATTGAAGTATATGAATTGATTCCAGGTCCAGATGAGGTGACCATTAAGAGTGAGATGTTGTACTCTATCCTCAAGAATGGCAGGATTAAGGTTATGATTCTGGATGCGAGGCCAGGGAAGGATTACATTGAGTCACATATTAACTACCCTGCCTGCATCAGTGTGCCCGAAGAGTGCATTTCTCCTGGGTAAGATTTTATGTTTGTTGCTAATATACAATGGTTTATGCCAAACAGACAACTGTTAATGGTTCAGTATAATTGAAAGCTTTAAGCGAGCTTCAAAACATAAGTTTATGCTTTTTGATCACTGACAGGGTAGGCTGAGAAGCGAATATGCTATGTAGCAGTTATGAATGCCGTGTAATATGAGCCCTTATACCGGACCCAACTCCAAATTGTCGGTCGCGAATGGGACAACTTGAACAACAAGGCTGTTCAAAATTCTCTGTACTAACAGCATATAGTTAATTTTGTATTATATTTAATTTTGTATTATATTTAATTTTGTATTATATTTAATTTTAAAAGCATGCACTGTTTTTATAATAAGTACTGATTCTTGTTTCCAGGCAATCGGCAAACGTACTGGAACAGAACCTGCCGCTTGCGTCGCGGCCGGTGTGGGCGGAGCGCGCCAACATGGAGCTCATCGTCATGCTCGACTGGAACAGCACCGCCGTCATACCCGGGAAGACGCTGCACCTGCTCAAGACTACGCTCCTCAAGGTTTACCTTTACACTTGAGCTTTTTACTGCATGCATAGTCCAAGACTGTTTTCTAATATGTTTATTTTTTTTTCTCCTTATCATTTAATTTATTGAAATAAATAATTAAAACTAAAATACTTACACCTTAAAAAAAATAATAATAAAAATAAATACTAATAAAAATAAATCATAAGGCATCAAAGAAAACATTTTCCTCATCGCTACCATGAGGTAGGGTTTTCTAATTGAGTTAGAATTTTACTCTACACTTCCTAAACTTGGTTAATTTTTATTAGATTTTCGTCAATCGACATATTTCAAGACTTTCTTGTTCCACTTTGTCTCTTATTAAGACAAGTCCTATTAGAATGGATGCGGATAATATTTAAAGGCTCCTGCGCTTTCAATTGCCACTAGAATCGCCATTCTGGTATATGGATTTTTGATAAAAAATTGTGTTTGTATGTTAGTGGGACGTGAAGGTCCAGTACAGCCGGCCCCCGCTGGCGCTGCTGTCAGGATACGAGGACTGGCTCCTCAAGTACCCCGCCTGCACCACCAACCCACAGGCCGTGCCGCCCAGGCAGGACGACTTCATGGACGATATGTTAGGTAAAACATCATATACTATACAAAACTGTTTTCACTCGATGAAATAGTGTCTCGTATAAAAGAAGCCGATCAAGGTACCAAGTATTTGAAAGAAACTGGGCACTTTCCGATAAAACAAAAACTTATAAACAGCGACCTGCCAGGCATAGGCTGGCTGGTCAAGGTTACGGCATACTTCTCTTATGTAATAGAGTTCCAGTCTATAAGAGCCAAGTGCACTGTCACGGACTGTTGAAGGTGAATAGAAGGTACTCACACTACAAGAACATTTTTTTAAAATGTTGCCCACACTAGGATTTTTAAGTAATACATTTGACTACATTATGTTTTTGTTCCAGGTGAAATCGAGTACCCGAACTGGTCGGACCTGAGTCCGTCAGCCGCGGCGGCCCCGGCGGCGCCGCGCAAACCTGGAGAACCTGTCGTAGACAGGAGTAGTAAGGTAACAGGTTCCTTTTAGATAGGCTACTAACCTTCTCCCAAAATCCTCATTTTTGTGACATTGAAGAATATCATCCACCATATCATCTCACCGGACTATCAAGCGACTTATTTCCACCTAGACTCCAAGTTGTGTGAGAATCATTCAACATCTCTTACTTATGTCTCAATTCTGCATCCCGTTCCCCCCCCCCCCCCCAAAAGTCAGTAATGTGTCTGGAACTTTGAGTGTCACTGGGCCGCACTGATTGCTTACCATCAGATCAAATGTCTGATCCGGCTACTACCTCCCCTATCCTATAAAACTTCTTTTCGTGACCCTCAATGATATCTGCTGGGTTCCAACGAACCTTGCCGGTTGTCGGTGCCGATTAAATTACTTCGTCTTTCTTACTATCTGGTTTGCTGAACACCTTTAACCACTAGGCAATAAATATGTTGACATTACCACCATCTCCCTCAGGCGGCAGCAGTACAGATGTACTCGGAGCGCGCCCGCAACATGGCGCAGATCCTGGAACAACAGGAACGTATCGCCGACACATCACTCACGCTCGAGATGCAGAGGATCGAGGCTGAACAGGTAATTTATACAAACTTATTTTTTAATGTACGAAACAAATGCAATATTGACTAATTTCTTAGGTTTAAAATAAATTGTTTCAACTTTCAATGCAATAAATACACAACACAACATCATGCCTTTTATCCCCGAAGGGGTAGGCAGAGGTGCACACAGAAGTAACACCCACTTTTCACTATTTATGTTATGAGTCCCATGTAATAGGGAGTGAGCCTATTGCCATATACCGGGCACATTTCCAGACTCCGTGCTACTACTGAGATTTTTTTAAACCCAGTAATACTTTGTCCAACCCGGGAATCGATCGAGAATGCAATAAAAAATTAAAAAATAATCATACTCTCATCCATTGATTTGACAATTTACCTACTTTTGGTTTTTTTTCTGGCTAATTAATGGTAAAATAAGTATGGTATTTGACGCATAAATATGATTACGTCATAAGTTGCGATCTAATACAAAATTCATAGAAAAGTATCGTTTTTGACATTTCAATAAAAATGTTGAATTTGACTACCCGTCAACTATCGTATTTCATCAACTGGTATCTAGGTATTGTAAAAAACCTACTAATAGGTTTGGAGGTACCTACCAAGTTGTTTAAAATGTCAAAAACACATAGTTACTAGTCGCTATTTCGGGTAGGATTAGATATAACACCGTATTGGGTTTGTCAATAACTTCTCTTATCAAAATCACAAGGAAAATCATGATTCTTTTTCCAGACATACTATTCTAGAGATCTTAATATCTGTTCTTGTGTATTCGCCAGGACTGGGAGAAAGTCCGCGAGCAGCGCGAGGCAGAGATGCAGGACGAGCTGCGCGCCATGTACAAGCTCAGGGAACAGGAGATCATCTCGCAGCTCATGCAGCTCGAGAACAAGCAGTACGACATGGTCAGCACTCACACCCTTATGACAAACACATAATTATTTAATGTATAAAAATACTAGCTTTTACCCGCGGCTTCGCTCGCGTCACAAAAGGATAAAAAGTAGCCTATGTGACATATACTGTGCGAGCCTGCAATAGCTCACACAAGAGGAATGTCAATAGAATGTCACGGGAAGATTAATTAGAGAGAGTTTGTCAAATAAATTATACGTCAATACAGGTTGAATGCTTTTAATGCACTGTCCAACATGCGCTTGTAAAAATGTACATATTAATTAGGCCGATGTGGCAATAACACTCGACAGTTAAAAATGCAAACAAACAAAAATATAATGAAAATGGCTTGTACATATTGCCAACAACGAAATACCGCCAAAATAAAAAAAAATACAAAAGTAGATTAGTTAAAAATTAAGCCAACTACGATTAAGGTTCAGGTAAATTATCAAATTTAATTGTCTTGTTCATAGTGGGGGACGTAGCCCTATGTACACCGAGTCTTGAACCACTAATTTCGCGAGAGATTGACTTAGCGGTGTGTCGCGCACTCACACCACTTTCATTCACTGTATCACTCACTACACTGTCTTGACTCCGACTGATTGTCACCATTGACGATCCAGCTCCCTGGGCTGCCAGATGTTGCTGCTGCGGCGTGCGTATTGGTCTTGTTGTCCACCACTTCCTTCCGAATCTCAATATAGCATATGCCATGACAAATAGGACCAGCGGAACCAAAATTGAGTAGATAACTGTATAATGCGAGGTACCAGTCATACCGTCAATTCCTTGCAGGTTTTGTTGTTTCAATTCTTCTATTTGCCGCTTTATAGAGTTGTAAAGTTCATTGTGATTTTCTGTCCTCATTTCTATAGGATTTTGAAGAACTAAAGAATTCAAGATATTATTCAAGGCCGATATAGGCTGTGTTGTTGGTATGTCAATCAGCGGTTGCAGGAAAATTTTGTTGTGATAATCATGGTAGGCTTGTATGGTAAATGTGTCTCCTTTAATGAGACATCCTTGACCTACAGTAATTATACCATTGTCATGCAGTTGTTTTGTATCAAGACCACCTGGGCATAAAATGCGAATTCTGCACTCCCGGCAACATGAGTATAGCCACGCGCCCGGTGATTGTAACTTGATCCAGTTGTGTGAACATTGTCTGAGCTCTGTCCGACAAAATGAGTCATTATTATTATTGTACAGGCTTATTGCACATATTGACCTATCAAGGTGGACATTAAGTATGGGAATACTTTCGTAGCATATTAACATCTCGTTTAGATACCGTTTGCATGTTTGTAGGTCGGTCTCAGTCATGGGTATAACCATATCTTTTTTCATGTTCACTGCGATGTAGGGAGTAATGGGAATATTGTAGAGGATGCTGTCATTCACTTTTCGTGGCAGGGGGATTATTTTATTAAGTTCGAATAGGTTCTGACTTAATAATGGAATTTTGATTTCTATAATTAGGAATGCTTTTGTCACTTTTGCCCGCATTTGCATGAGACGATATAATTCCCTTTCATTATTGTGTGGTATTACTAATTCCCCTTGAAGTCGTCCAGCAATGAGATTGAGTTGATTTTGCAGTTCATCAGGTGATATTAAATGCATGTCAAGTCGCCCATGATGTATGTTTGTAACGGTCTCAAGTAAAGTGTCTTGAACTCTTCTTAAATTAGATAAAATGACATTAACTGAGAGTGCCATTGTTATAATTTGCAATTGATTATCTGTTACTATTCGCACGTTGTTAATCGCCGACGTCATATTATTTAAATATTCGTTAATGTACTGGAAGTGACTATTCATTATATCTTCATTACGTTTCAAGATGTTGTTTTCAGTTTCCAAAATAGAGGTCTGATTTCGTATCATCTTTAGTAAATGATCTTCATTATATTTGATCGACATAATATCTCTTTCGTACTTTTCCGCAAATTTGTCATCTAAAACCCCAAATAATGAGTTTGCAACATTACCTATAGCATTTATTAAGCCTCTCTTTACCCGTGTCTGACTTTTAGCCTGCAATAATTCATTGTAATAATTTATTTCATTCAGTTCATGCTCGAATTGCGATATAATCGGTTGAAACATTAATTCATCCTTTTCTACGCTTTTCAAATGCATAATGTAATTTTGGATGTCAGCCATGTTTTGCCAGTATTTTGTCATGTTGTAATAAACTATCATTTTCCATTGATCTTGAACAACTCTCATGTCAGCGACTTTGTCAAAATATAGAGTGTTGGTTGTATTAAAGACGGTGTTATTAAAACTGTGTTGCAGCGAAGGAACTATCAATGTCATGAACATTGTTAAGATAGCTACCAAGTAGTTAAGTTGTTTTGGTTTTCTTGTGTTACGTTTGGGCCTCCCCCCATGTTTAATATCATTTTTCTGTTCTGTGTCATTTGTAATAGCCTTACTCGTATCCGAATAAACCGGTAACGGTGTCAATTTGATAATAGGTCGTTTTAGGTATCCATTCTTTGTTTTTATTGTTACTACACGAACGCATCCATCTTTTCCTTCATGTACCTCTGTTATCTTCCCCATTGCCCATTTAGACGGTGGCATGTTGTCTTCATTGATCAAGACAATGTCATTAATTTGTAAGTTTGGCTTGGTTTGATACCATTTACAGCGTGTTTGTAGGCGGTGGAGATATTCTTTCGACCATTTGTCCCAAAATGACACGTGCATTTTCTGCATTAGCTGCCAACGCGTATGTGGGTTGATAGGTTCTTTCGGATTTTCTAGAGGCGTCGATAACAATGGACCCCCTATTAAAAAGTGTCCCGGAGTCAAAACCTCCTCTTCTACATTCTCTGTCAGGGCATATAGTGGCCTCGAGTTGACGCATGCTTCTATTTGCGCTAATAACGTGTAGAATTCATCAAATGTTAACTGTTGTTCTCCTATAATGCGTTTCAGGTGGTGTTTAACACTTTTTACAGCGGCCTCCCAAAGACCACCGGCACTTGGCCATGCTGGCGCATTGAAATGCCAAGTGACTCCCATACCACTGATGTCCTCTAAGAAATCGGTGTTGATGACGTTCAAAGCCTCCTTGTGCTGTCTGTTCAGTATTTTTGCTGCACCAACGAAATTAGTACCATTGTCAGAGTATACATGTCTAGGTACTCCACGACGTGCACACATTCGTTTGAAGGCCGCCAAAAATGACATAGTGGTCAAATCTGTCACTAATTCTATGTGTATAGCCTTCGTTGCAAAGCAGACGAAGACGGCTATATACCCTTTGATGGTTTTAATACCTCGCCCTTTATTCGCCTTTATATTCACAAAACCAGTAAAGTCCACGCCGGGTGCGTAAAGGGGCGGGAGGGTGTCACTCTAGGCTCTGGCAGATTACCCATAAGTTGATGTGGAGTTTGAGGACTGTGACGTCTGCATTGAATACATTGGCGAATCCTCTTTTTCACGGCTCTAGTCCCCGAGATAATCCAATAATTATATCGAGTATAGGCTAATGTCAGGTTAGCACCGCCATGTAGGGTAGCTTTATGCGCTTCATCAATGATAAGTTGAGTTAAGTGAGAATCGTTTGGCAGTAGAATGGGATGTTTTCTGTCATATGTCAATTTAGAGTGTTGCAATCTCCCACCAACTCGTAAAATTCCAAATTTATCTAAAAACGGATTTAATGTCAACAGCGTGCTTTTAGAGGAGATAGATTTACCCTTTAGAATACTATTTATAGCTTCGCTAAAGTGTTGGACTTGTACAGCTTTAATTATGCTGTGTAAGGCTGATCTCATTTCACTTGCACTTAAGTGCGCACATGGTTTATTATTGTTACGTCGCGTGTGCTGTATGAATCGTGATATCCAACACATGATCCTCACTCCTCGTGTCAAATTACTACATTTATTTAATAATTCAATTATAATAGACGGCGTAATTAATTGCAGTGTACATACTGATTTAGCATTTTTAACTTCAATATTGGGTGGCTCAATTGGTGGTACTTCAGCACAGATCTCTTTCTCATTCTTCAGCCAGGACGGTCCTTCCCACCACAGTTGGTTATATAATACTTGCGATGGGTGTAATCCCCTGGTAGCGCAATCTGCTGCATTTTCCTCCGATTTGACATGTCGCCAACGAGAAGCAGGTAGAATATTAATTATTTCCCGAACACGATTTGCGACATACGTTTTCCACCTCGACGGATCACCTTGTAGCCATCCCAATACTACCATGGAATCTGTCCATCCACAAACGTCGACTGTCATATTTTCTGGCAACGATACTTTTATCTTGTTTAATAACTTTGTCAATAAAACTGCAGCGCAAAGCTCTAAACGGGGGAGCGTTAAGGGCTTTTTGACTGGTGCAAGTTTTGTTTTTGCAGCCAGTAATCTCAGAAATATTTTACCCTTGTCATCCATTGTCCTAGTATACACCGCACAAGCCATGGCCTTCTCCGAAGCGTCAGAAAATCCATGCAGCTGGATAGATTTTTCTGTATTTCCTATCCATCTAGGTATTTCAAACTTCTCTATCTTCCTTAAATCATTCCGTAATTTACTCCACTCTTGTTTTATGTTCGCGGGAATCTCATCATCCCATGCTATTCCCGTAGACCAAAGTTGCTGAAATAAAATCTTCAATTTGATTGTAATAGGTGCGAGCCAACCAAGTGGATCAAATAACTTAGACATATCGGATAGCATCATCCGCTTGGTGTATTTGTCATTTGTAGTGTAATTTATTTTGTTGTCAAATGTGAATGAATCCGACGTTGGATCCCATTTAAGTCCTAGGGTTTTAGTTGAGTGTGCACATTTGAAATCGATGTTAGTCATACTCAATTGATCTGAATGTAAATGACTAAGTAGCTCAGGCGTGTTACTAGACCATTTACGCAGATTTATTCCTGCTCCTTTTAACATATCAATCAACTCCATTTGCGTTTGTTTTGCAATGTCAATATTATTATTTCCTGCCAATAAATCATCCACGTAAACATTTTTCAGCACAATGTTTGCGGCTAACGGGTATTTGTCTTTCTCGTCTTCAGCTATTTGCTTTAATGTTCTTAAGGCTAAAAAAGGTGCTGCCTTAGTGCCGTATGTTAATGTGCATAGCTGATATTCTTCTAAACATTTGCCATTTTTCCAGACAATTTTTTGGAGATGTTGGTCATTTTCATGAACTGCGATCATTCTGTACATTTTCTCACAGTCAGCAACGTACACATATCTGAAGGTTCGCCAGTGATCAATAGTCCTTGGATATCATTATGTAATTTCGGGCCACATTCCATCAAATCATTCAAACTATAACCTGACTTTGTTTTGGATGAGGCATTAAAAACCACACGTAATTTCGTTGTCGTGGAGTCTTCTTTGTGTATGTCATGGTGGGGTAAAAAGCAATGAGGTTCCCTTTTCTCCACGCATTTCTTCATGTGTCCTAGGGCTATATACTCGTTGATAAACTTATAGTAGTCTTCGTGCAATTTCACATTCTTTTGTAACCTAGTGTCTAAATGGTTTAACTGAGCAACGGCCTTTGCTTTGGATGATCCGAGATGCTGTTCAAAATTTTCTATCATCGGATAGCGCACTTCATATTTTCCATTTGGTAATCTTCTTGTGGTTGACGTATAGAAATCTTCGCACCACTGCTCTCTATCAGTTAATGCATTCTTCTCCATCACCTCCTCCATCTCCCAAAATCTTGACATATCCTCATTATTGTTCACAACAACATGACAGTTGAAGCTTGTCAGACGTGTATTTCCGGATAAAATCCACCCAATTCTTGTCTGTTGCGCTATAGGTTCTTGGGTTGATCCTCGTAATAATCCACTCATAATTATCTCAGAGTAGACTTTCACGTCGAGTAGAATGTCAATAGGACCTGAAATGTAATATTCGGGATCCGCTAATTGAAGGTTTTGTATATGAGGATAGTTTTTCTTCGTAAATGATGCATTGGGGAGATTGTTAATAACTTTTGTCATTATGAGAGCTTCTGTTTCAAATTCGTATTCATCATAGATAGATTTACACTCAAGTACCAACATGCCCTTGCCTTTTTTAGGGGTGACGCCTACACCACAAACCGATGCATTAATGTGTTGACGGCGAAGACCCAATCGTTGCGCTGCATTCTCTGTGATAAGGGTGATCTGTGACCCTTGATCCAAGAGTGCGCGGAAGGTTATGTAGGTACCATCTGAGGCCTTTACCTTAATTTTTACTGTTGTTAATAATATTTCGTCATTCTCATTGTCAACGTGATTTGCATTTTTGTTTACGGGGCGGGATGACGAAACCGAGGTTGATGGCATCATTGTTTCACTAAAAGCGTCATGTAGCAGCGTATTATGCTGTTTATTACAAATTTTGCAGCGTTTGTTGGAATTGCAGATTCCTTTTTCATGTCGATAAAGACAATTTTTGCAAATATCATATTGTGAAATGGAATTTAGTTTGGTTTCCGGTGGCATACTTGCAAACTTGTGGCATTGATACAGCGCGTGATCAATATTGCAGAATGGACATTTGTCACGTTTATAATTGGTATAATATGCCCTGGAAAAATTATGTTTATGAGATGCATTTTGATCTCTTTTGTCACTTTTGTCAGACGGTGTCACGTGTTTTCGGTACTTATGCACCAAGTCTTCTCTTTTGCGAATAGGTTCTAATGCAGTAAACTTGAGTTCTAAAAATGAGAGGAACTCTTCTATTTTTGCTAACTCACGCGGATTTTTTCTTTGTTCTTGATAATCTTGATAAGTTTCACTGTCAAGTTTCTTCGTTAACAGGTGTACTAACAGTGGACCCCAAGTTGTCATTTCCACTCCTAGATTTTGGATGGCGTGCAAGCATTCTTTGCTTACATCATGCAATTTCTTTATCTCGAATGCTGTTTGTTTTTGAACAGTTGGTTGATTCAGAAAAACTTCGATTTGTTTAGTGAATAGTAGTTGTTTGTTGTTATATCGTTGACATAAAATATCCCATGCGGTATCATAATTATCTGTCGAGATATGGAGATGTTGAATGAGTCTTTCAGCTTCACCTTTCAACTTACTTTTTAAATGTTGCATCTTTTGGGATTTAGTCAGTGTATGATTATGATGAATAGTCTCTTTGTATAGATCTAAGAATGTCGGCCAATCAGTATAATTTCCTGAAAATATAGGGATGTTCATTTTAGGTGTAGAATCTTTAAGGTGCGCAGTAGATGATAATTTCCGATTGAGACGTCTCTTGATCTCTCTGTATTTCATCTCATGCTCGTTGTACTCATCTTCATACGCCAAGTCTGGCTCCTCCAGTAAGTTGTCAATTTTCCAATGCAATTTGTCAATAAATTCCCAACGTGTTTGTAAGCTACGAAGTTCATCTTCTAATTCCCATTTCTCTTCTATTCCCTCTACATCACAGAACTGAACTTGCCTACTAAGGGCTTTAAAATTCGTTCGCTGTTGGCTGATTAGGCTACTCAATTTAGAAGATTCGGGTGCATCTTCATCAGATTCCTTAATTTCGGACGGTTTTGGCATCTTAAATGTCGCCACATTGAGTCTTATTCCCTCGTAGTACTTCAGAGTTTGCTCATACAGATTCCTCACGAAATATTCATGGGACTCGTCTTTAAATGTCAATAACTGATCATGATTAAATTGGAAATCTTCCCACAATTTATCCAATCTCTCTAATTTCTTAATAAGGTATTCAGTAGTCTTCCTACTGGATGGATCCTTTTTAAAGTTAATATTTTCACGTTCAAGACTTTTGATGAGCGCCTGCTGGTTATTAAATAGAGCCTCCATGTTTCGTCAAAAGGTCGAGAGTCTAATATAACGGAACAGTCTTACCTGGATGCAGCTGTCACTTACGTCACCTCTACTTGCGGAAAGTTGCGCCAAGCTGTATTCTGCACAGTACGCTGTTGGCACCAGACGACGTTGTTCCTTGTAGCTAATGATCACTTGTCACTCGTGTAATGCAGGGGCTCGTGTTGAACGTAATGTCACTTTACACAGATTGTCACAAGTTGTCTCAGAAAAGCGGGTTAGTTTCCCACTGGCCACACTATTTGCAACGCAAAAAAAATTGATTGTCACTGTCCAATTGTCACGTGGCACGATTGAATGCACTGTAATTCACTGTCACTGATAAAATGACTTTCTGGCTTTTGTATAAAACGCGACGAAAAGTCATATATCCGGCTCGAAGGACCAAACTGTGCGAGCCTGCAATAGCTCACACAAGAGGAATGTCAATAGAATGTCACGGGAAGATTAATTAGAGAGAGTTTGTCAAATAAATTATACGTCAATACAGGTTGAATGCTTTTAATGCACTGTCCAACATGCGCTTGTAAAAATGTACATATTAATTAGGCCGATGTGGCAATAACACTCGACAGTTAAAAATGCAAACAAACAAAAATATAATGAAAATGGCTTGTACATATACCAATACATACATCGCCATCTATACCAATAATTTCGTTTTCCCTCGAGAATATCAAAATTTTTCCGGGATAAAAAGTACCCTATTATTTAATCCAGACTTCTAACTTTACGTCTGCAAAAATTCAAAGCAATCCGTTCAGTAGTTACGGCGTTAAATCGGAACAAACAAACAAACTCACTTTCCGATTTATAATATTAGAAAGGATACAATTATTAGAAATTACTTGCGCAAATTGCTTACACAAATTACTTGCGCAAACTAGTTCCTTTGATGCGCAAATGAATCCATTCGTTGTGCAAATATCCAATCGATGCGCAAGTGAGATGTGTTTACAATAAGTATTAAAATGTTCAGGAACAAGAGAACCAGAGTCTTCGTGAGCAGTTGGAGGAGTACCAGCGTAAGGAACGCGAGGAGGCTGAGAAGATGGCGGAGACTATCAGCGCGACCTCTGAGGATACTGAGGCTGCTGATGCTGAAGGTATACTATAATTATGATCTTTAGTACATTAGAAGTTACATTAATGAGTAGTGAAAAGTTTAAAATGTAAATGAAAGATGGCAACTGTAGGATATTTTGAAGTTTTTTGTCATGGGTGTAGTTATACGTATCTTATATACTGCTTATATTAAGCTGCAGAGTTTCTTTGTTTGTTTGTACTCGCTAATCTCAGGAACTACTGGTCCGATTTGAAAAAATCAACTTGTATTGGATAGCTGATTTATCGAAAATGGCTATAGGCTGTAAAACTTCACGCTAAGATGAATAAGCGCCGAGCAGGCGGGTGAAACGGCGTGGAAGTAGCTAGTATAGTATGATGTCGGTGCGGGCGCAGTAGTACAGTGTATATTATACGGCAGCGTCGCGCGCGATGGCGGCGGCGGCGGCGCGCGAGCTGGCGGCGGCGCGCGCGCGCATCGCGGCCGTGACGCTGCAGCGGCGCCAGCTCGACCGCACGCGCGAGGCACTCGAGCACGAGCGCAAGCGCAAGCTGCAGCACGCGCGACACAACAAGCCCGACGCGCACAAGCCCAGCCACGTACGTACTATATTCTACTCGACACCACCACGAACTTGGTGCGCTCCGAACCATATTAGATCGTGTGGCGGACGATCCACCGCATATTTTCAATGACACGACTGGACCGGCGAACCAAATTGACGGATCACTTCGATCGTCTATACGTTCTCTCACTGTTTACACAGCTCGCTTCTTAACTAATATGATCCACCATATTTTTGCTGACCAGATGGCGCTAGTGTTCTTCCCTCTTGTTCTTCGTCCAATAAAGCATTGGCTAGTGTCATAGTGATTGGACTAAAAATCTATTGCTACATTTGCGCCATCAAGTAGCCAAAAATACGGCCCCCATTGATATAAGCGACATTTTTTTGCGATATTGAGTATATGGCATTAACTTATTAGTAACTGCTGACCAAAGGCTTCTTTTTCTATGGAGAAAGTTTTTACATTAATTACCACACTATAGTGTCTAAATAATCTTAAAAAGTACATGTAACTCGGAAAAAGTCACATTGGTACTTGCCGTTAGTAGGTTTTGAACACGCACTCTCATGCACGAGAAGCGAGAAAAATGTCGCTTTGGTCAATCAGCCTTTGAACCGTCGTTATATTAGAAATCGGTCGGTGTACTATCTCGCCTAGCGGTAAGTAATAATGCGGCCTAGCCTAAGTAGAACACATTTACTATCTACCCATAAGTAGTAAAGTGAATGAAACACTTTATAATTACCCTTTGTGTTACTCCTTGTATGTTTCTTCGAAAAACTTATAACTAAAGTTAAGGTGATTGATTAGGTTTAATAATACTATAAGTCATGACTATGAGCCCTGAAATTGGCTTGAAATCAGTCGAGTTACACTATCAAGCCGTAAAATATAATTAACTCATTAAGCATCAATGTTAGTTAAGTTTTTTCGAAGAAACCCTATTAAATATTTGTGCCTGTCTGTTTGTCCTCATTAGCAATCAACTAAATTATTACCTACCCTCGCATGTCATTAATAAACATAATTGCATGAACATTTCAAAGAAGTGAAAATGTAAAAAATAAACAAGCATTAATTCTCAGATATCTGTGTGCAAAAAAATTTCATACAAAAGAATGTTTTACGTTTTGCAGTGATAATAATAATTATCTACAATAATTTTATTTGTCCTAACAAAATCCTGTGATTCAGGACAAATTCGAATCTAGTAAATTGAACTTTAACAACACAAGCTTTTGTTCTCCACTTCGTCCGCATGCCATAGTGTCTTTAGCAATTTTTTGTCTTTATCCTTTTCTATGTGGTCTATTCTATCTCTGCACAAAATTTCATCAATATCGTTTAAGTAGTTCCACGGTAAAAGAAACTCCTGAAGTTCTGACAGTTTTAAGATTTTAGCGATTTATCCAATTGTTCTGTTTGATATTGTTTGTCATGTCAATTGGCCTTTAGCCAAACGCAACTTTAGCGCTTGTCTACAAAGAGAGTAGAAATCAAAATGTATGGGGATGACACTGACAAGCGTCAAAATTTACGTCAATTCCATATAATTTGGTTTTCTATTCTACATGTAGACAAGCGCTAAGTGGCATTTGGCTACAGCTGCTGGACTATAAAGTGACCCAGACACACATACATCTTTGCCGTCAGGACAGGTCCACTCAACCTTGTGTGGATCTTTCTTCAAAAAACCACTACAATAAAACGGGTGAATGGGTATAGAATAGAGGTGAATAAAAGTTGAGAAATTCTTCTAACATCCCTTATGAATTCTATTCACCCCGTTTGTACATGCTTTATTTTACTTTATCTGAGCTTTAAGAGGGACTGGAACGTCTGAATGTGTTTCAGTGTTTCTACTCAGAGTTCTAAGGTAGCAGAAAAGACAGATTTATTTCGTATTGACGTGTGAAACTGCTGTTTTTTAGGTTGCGCCAAGTACATGGACATTCTTATTAGTTTTGCAAAGGAATTTACACTTTTAAATAACTTTACTATAGGACAAACAGACAGACATATTATTATTATTATTTGACATTCAAGATCTAATTTGAATAAATATTTTTTACTTTAATATAATAAGGTTATTGACATTTTTAAGTATCAAAAGTTTTTTGTAAAAGTTGTGACATAACTTCGTATACCATGGCCATGGCCCCCTCACTATAATGTGTTATATAAGGTAGGACACTCGTCATTAACGCCGCTGTCTAGCGTGTGTACACGTCGTGCGCCCTGCACACTATTGTAATAAATCCAAGTAAAATAAATCCGTCTACAATTAATTAATCCACCAACATAACAATATGTATGAATATATAAACAAAAACATAAAAAACATATGGTATTCGCGTTTTTGCCAAATATCTTTGTCTTAATTATCCTTGTCCAGCTATGAACAGTCTTCGCCGCTGTTGATAATTCCATATATCTGAATTGATAGTCCAAACAATAGGAAACTCTAAAAGAAAGTTGCCTGTTTTTGTAATGTCACTGACAGCTGTCATCGGTGACAGATAAATTTTAATTACATTTTTGTATAAGTCACATGATGAGCTCAAACCAATGATTTTAATATGCAGATTTCGAATCAAATTATAAAAAAATACTAATATAGAAATATGTCTCAATTTAATACAAACTAGCGACCCGCCCCAGCTTCGCACGGGTAGAATATGCATGTATTACGCATATAAACCTTCCTTAAGAATCACTCTATCTATTAAAAAAAACCGCATCAAAATCCGTTGCGTAGTTTTACAGATCTAAGCATACATAGGGACAGAAAGACGGCGGATAGCGACTTTATTTTATACTATGTAGTGATAAGTATATTTGTCAATAACCTTATTTCATCACTCGCTTCCATTTTGAAAACGCGTATAACTGACAAATACTGACAATAACAAACAGGATGAAGATGGTGATTCGTACATGATGTCGCCGGATAGTCCGGGAGCCGCCGGGCTAAATAGATCGCACTCCTCGCCTAATATCGCTAAGGTAACTAAAATGACTTTAACCAAACGATCATATTTCGTAGGTCGCACATTAAACTTAACAAACAGACATTAATCAATTCATTTTCGACTTTGTCGCATTACTATAAAGTTCAAAACGATTTCAAAATGTCAAACGAATTTATGTATCAACCCTATCTTTTTTATTGGCGTAAGCAGAGATAGAACGCTGAAAGCACTGATCCTTTTTCCATCACTTCATCCACGCATGATCACAAAATGGGGAACCATAAATCTGAACTGTTTTTATTTTTCATTTTCGTCGATTATAATAGATCTATTAATATTTGTTAATGTTTATCTATTAATATTTATTATGTTTTGCTTTCATTTTAATTAAAATATCCGAGCGCTAAGCGAAAAAGATCAAATTACGTAAATCCGATCCTTTTCACTTAGTGCTACGGAAGAAAGTTAAATACTCAAAATCATTTAAAGAGTTTTTAACATTCTCATTTTACGAAGTTTGAGACAAGGAGCCATACACGCTCAATTGGCGACAAAATATGTCTTCTATTGTGGTAGACAGGGGCCATAGAACGCCAAATTACAATGATTCTGGCATACCTCTTTCGCTTTATTTACATTCATTAATATCTTCATGCATGCTCTTCAATTAATGGTGCTTCTTATTTGATCCCTCACCTCATATAAATGGTAGTCCAATGGGATACAATGGGATTATTATACATAGTTTTTAAAACACCTCTTCTTTATCCATCCTAGGTATCCTCAGATGAAGAAGAGCCTTGCGTACCAGCGTTTGACAGGAGCACGAAGCCTACGAAGGTGGCGCCCTCTAGCGACCTGCACCAGAGGGACTTCCAACCTGTTTGGGGAGATGTGGTGAGTACTAATTTATAATAATATTTAATACAATCCACAAAAGGTACCCAACTCTTGGTGTTGCGGGTATTCATGGTCAGCGCCGGTTGCTTACCATCAGGTGATTGAACTGCTCGTTCGACCCATTTCATATATTTAAAAATCAATCGAGTAATTTTTTTAGTATCTTATGATTTACAAAAACCAACCCTATTGCTTATGAAATAGTGTTTATTTTAATAACAGCACGTTGTTACGAGATTTTAAGATTTATATTTTAAAAGGTTTTCAATGATGTCATGGTGCCTATAATGTTCAATCTGTATTTGGTGTATATAAACTCTTGATCACATCTTATATCTTATACTATTATATAAAGCGGAAGAGTTTGTTTTTTTGTTTGTTTGTTTGTTTGAACGCGCTAATCTCCCTAACTAGAAGTCTGATTTGAATAATTCTTTTTGTGTTGGATAGCGCATTTATCGAGGATGGCTATAGGCTATAAAACATCACGCTACGACCAATAGAAGCTGAGCAGAGCGTGTGAAATCGCGCGGAAGTAGCTATAGTTTAAAATATGCACCTTTTTGTAAACAAGTGAAGGTTGTCACTATAGATAGGTTACAGAACATTCTAGACGCATTTTGATACGCTAAGCCGCGAGTGCACGCACTGTGTGAGTCATTGCGACGTCACTGCAATGTTACTGCAGTCCTGTACATACATGCAGTAATACAACTACGGTTTGCAAACTTAACTTGTTATTGCCTTTTTATTTAAATATGATTGAGCTTTATATAGCCCACTAGCTTTTACCCGCGGCTTCGCTCGCGTCACAAAAGGATAAAAAGCCAATGTGACATATAACAATACACACAGCGCCATCTATACCAATACTTTTGTTTTCCCTCGGGAATATCAAATTTTTCAGGGATAAAAAGTACCCTGTTATTTAATCCGGGCTTGTAACTTTACGTCTGCAAAATTTCAAAGCAATCGGTTTAGTAGTTACGACGTTAAATCGGAACAAACAAACAAACAAACTCACTTTCCGATTTATAATATAAGTAAGGAGTAAGGATTATTAAATGGGCGGACAATTAATAGCAGAGGTGTAGTCATCGACACTGGTGAGTCTTGGATTTGACATCAGGGGACTTCTTACTCTTGAATCCAATTCCGATCGATCGACATTGGTATTGTGAAATCTTACATTCTCTTTCTCTTTACATATCCAAACTGTCTTAACGTTGAAGGTAAACATAACGGATTTTTGTGTAGCAAAATATGAAGATAATGTAAACTTAGTTGTTGCAAATTATTAGAATTTTAATTTTTACTAAAAGTGAACCGCTCTAGGATCTTTTCCTTTGTCTTTGGCATAATTTGTGAATCACACAAAGGGTTGTCCCGGGCGCAAATTTAACCCGCAAGATAATAATGTCGCAAGCGTACATAGGCCACAGTAACAGCTTACCATCAGGTGGGCCGTGTGCATTTTTGCCACCATCGTGGTATAAAAAAATAAGCAGTAGCTATTTGCCCAGCCACTGCGCCTATTTTGCAATTGAATTAAAAACTAAGTCACATTGACTAGCTGCACTGCATGCACTGTGCCGGCAATGTACCGTGTGTGCGATGACGAGCGCGGCAGTCAAGGCGAGGAATCCCACCGCGTGCTAATCCCCACTAACTAGCAACAAACGTGCCCACATTACACGCTAATAAACATAACCACTACTTAAACAATTACTTACTTAGGTACTCATTTACATTGGCAAAAAAACCTTTCCGCTACACTAGGGTTTTCACCTGTCTCTCCATGCATTTAGAAATACAAATCGCACATATCATACCCAAACCTGGGGCAAGTACTTTATCAATTTAATAGAGAATTACTAAAAGATGTGGTAAGACTGATGGCTACACTATCGTATTGGAATGTATCTGTAATGGTAGTAGTTAGTGCATTTAATAAATAAATTAAAAATAAATAAAGAAATTTTAAGTTCCTAATGCAATAAGTACTGAATACAATAAAAGTTCAATACTATGTTCAAAAGTTCAATTCTCAAAAAAATTATCGCGGTATAAGCCTCCTAAGCGTAGTAGGAAAGTTGTATGCCAAGATATTGATGGAAAAAGTGATGGATGTAACTGAGAATAAAATGTGGGATGTGCAAGCGGGAATTCGAACGGGAATGGGGTCTACGGATCAAGAACTTAACCGACGAGCATGCATGAAAAGACTGATGACTGTTGATGAAGCGAAAGAGGCATGTAAGAGTCGTAACAATAGGCGGTCCATAGTCTCTGCCTGCCCCCATGTAAGACAGACGTGAAGTTATGTTCAATTCTTGGATGAGACAAATATTTCTATGAGTGCACAACAGCGATGCTCGATGATTCAAATCGCTGTGTCCAAAATCAATCAGGATTCATTTAGGTGCATCCGAAAACCGCAAAGTTGTACCTTCTAGCAAACCTTTATTTTACATAACATCACGCCTTTTATCCCCGAAGGGGTAGGCAGAGGTGCACACAGAAGTAACACCCACTTTTCACTATTTATGTTATGAGTCCCATGTAATAGGGGTGAGCCTATTGCCATATACTGGGCACATTTTCAGACTCCGTGCTACTACTGAGATTTTTTTTAAAACCCAGTAAATTTTTGACCTTTATTTTATTATCGTTTAATTATCAAATTAAACAGAAGTCACAATTCCACACCTCTACCCTAATAATCACAAGGTCTACAAATCACAAAGTCACAAACCACGTCTTAACAAACGTGATGTTTGGATGTAATCTCCCAAAATGTTCATCACATGTACGGTCGCGTGGTACCGAGTACTGTAACTATGGCTTCTGACCCGCTCGAAATATTTGTAAGATTATACCGCCCATGCTCACATGTTCGCTAAGCCTGTAATTATCAGCTATTCAGCTTATTATAATACCTTGTGATGAGTAAGTTTTTCAATTTCCAAAAGCTTGAACATTAATTGCAATAGGTTTGCTCCTCTATATGGGACGCTTCGTATCTTATACGATTGTATTCTTAATTTGATTTTTTTTAAAAAAACGCCCCACACTAGTATTTTCTAGTGTGGCGTGGGTGCGTTTACAAATACACAAGTTCACATACACATGACACCCAGACCCGGAACAACAATTTGTGGATCACACGTGTTGTTCCGTGATGTTCCGTGCGGGAATCGAACCCGCGACACGTTGCCCAGCCACCGCACCAACCGTGCAGTCAAACGTGCAATAAAACTGAAAAATTTATTTGAATGTGCTAATCTCAGAAACTATGGGTCCGATTTGAAAAAATCTGTTTGTGTTGGATAGTCCAATTATCAAGGATACTGTGTAAAATATCACGCCGCGATTAATAAGAAAGTCAAACCATTTATTTCAATTAACTCGTCGAGTACCGTATTTATAGACTTAATTAAAGAACAATAGGTTGCGGTCACCGGTGACCGCTTGGTGTTTGACAGTTTAAACCATAATTTGATACTTTTGAAACGTCAACAAATACAAAATAAATAATAGTCAGTCAGTCAGTCCGTCAGTGAACCTAGGTGAAGCTAGGTGCTTATTCCAAAATGTAGATTCGAATGGAGAAGAACGAGCAAGAAATTCCATTCGTTACTCTTTTAAAAAAGTCTGTTCTACAATGTCTCTGATACATATTCCAATGCTGTACGCATCATATGTGAGAACAATGCAAAGACACGCTTGACGATTAAATAAATTACAAAACTTACTAAAATAAAAAAAATCCGAAGAGAAGGAGTCGAGCACAGCGGGTGAAACCGCGCGGAAATAGCTAGTCTATACAAATATTATAAAGAGGAAAGGTTTGATTTTTTGTTTGTTTGTTTGTATGAATTGAATAGGCTCCGAAACTACTTGGCAGATTTGAAAAATTCTTTCATAACTTATAAAAAACGGATTTTATATTTGATAATGTGCCCATACATCGTTTCCAAAGAGAAGAATTGCCCGAAATATAGTAAATGTAGGCACAATCGAACAGTGCTATTCCATATTAATAATAATATTTTTTTTTGCTGTCCTCGGTCTTTAAGCTGTCGCCTCAGTTCCAGATTGGACTTTAATAAATAACATAGACTTATGTAATACGAATACAAGTATGTATTAATAAATGTATCAAACCTATAAGTCTATGCATTAGTTAGTTAGGTCTTACACGTGCACTCCATTACCTATTTATTAATTTCTCACTATAAAATATAGCTGAACTCATAACCTATGGAAGAACTCATTAAACATTCCATTAAGGTGTTTAAAATAGAAGCTTTTAATTATTTTATACTAGCTTTTTACCCGCGGCTTCGCTCGCGTCACAAAAGGTTAGAAAGTAGCATATTTGAAATATACCAATACACACAGCGCCATCTATACCAATACTTTTGTTTTCCCTCGGGAATATTATTTTTTCCGGGATAAAAAGTACCCTATTATTTAATCCAGACTTCTAACTTTACCTCTGCAAAATTTCAAAGCAATCGGTTCAGTAGTTACGTCGTGAAAGCGGAACAAACAAACAAACAAACTCACTTTCCGATTTATAATATAAGTAAAGAAGTAAAGATAAATCTTGATTCAATAAATTTAAAATTATGCTTTACGACCTAATAACAGTCGCAAGGGCCATTCTTAAGTCTTTGACGGAAACCTATGTTCAGCGGTGGACACCTTGTACTTATGGGTGATATGGTGGTAATGTTTTTACAAAAGAATAGCACGCTCTCATCTCTGCTTAACTTTTCGGAGATCGCTAAGATAAGAATATAATCTGTGCTAATACATATTAGATCTAAATTCGATTAATTAGTCTATCCAGACAATCCCTAGGTGAAACAATAAATTCAGGCGAAATGATTAATGTTTGGCCGACCACCGCAATCATTATGTATGCGATTTAAATAATAGTAGCGGTGGCCTCGACTGTCAGGTATTACTAAACTTCATTATATTATTAACTGCGGAACGAGCCAGTTAAAATAAACTATAGGTCAACGTAGCTAACTTACACCTTATAACTATAAGTTACTGGTTAAATGTCACGGTCAAAAATTTTTGTACAGTGATTTTTCCTCGGAAACATAGATATGTGGTGCACATTTGGAAGTTTCCAATGTGACCACCGCTAGATTTGCGTTTCCTATCATAGTGTATTTAGAGTGAGCTTAGAAGTAGTATTATTGGTCTACAGATACCTTAACTATAGAAAAGACATCACATCACATTTATAATAATTTCATTTACGGTTAAAATTAATATCCGATTTAATTACAAAATCTTAGATTATGATCGATTTTTTGACATTCGTTGTATAGAGCTTCTATCAAAAATCTTGATGGATGAAGAAATTTTACATTAAGACGTTGGATGCAGGTGGCTTCCAGCCGGCCTATCTGGAACTCATTTGGGGAGACCTATGTTCATGGACGTCCTAGGACTGAAATGATGATGATAATTAAATTCCTCTACCTATTCAAGGAAGAATCGAGTTGATCAGGAAATAATAGATGATACCATTCTAATCAATTCCCTATACTGATGGCTTGGACATCTAGTTTCATGCGCAACTGACCGTAGCTAATGCATCGCGTGTGCCTCACTCAGGCTGTCGTGACGACAGCGCACCGACGTAAGATATAATCCTCTGCCCATGCCCACGTGCGCGCGAACTCGATACCCTATCACACTAAACAACTACGTACAATCACATGCCATTTCTAATGATCATATTGTGATCCTGATTGAAAAAGAGTAAGTAACCTATGGGGTTTTTTGTGCGTTCTTCTCCATAGGATCACGCCTTGGAATGAGCAAGTAGCGTCACTAGAGGACTGACCGATAAACTGAAACTTTATTTTTTGCTTGACGTTCAAAAGTGTCTTCTTGGTCTAATTGAAATAAATGATTTTCATTAACTAAAAATCGCGGGTTACTCACGTGAATATACTGAGAAAAGCTCTACTAGTTTAGCAGACCGTGCGCGACCGCGCACGCTGCTCTACTCATCATACACTGCTCATGAGGAAGAACCCCTTTGTGGTTCGAATTGTTCGAAACTAGTAGAGCCCATTATCAAACATAGATCATAATTCTAGAATCTATACTATTACCGAAAACGAACATCGGAAATGAAAATGGCAAATTGTACCAGACATGCTTTGCTCGCACTTACGACCATTCGACCATTTTTTTAAGGGGGCAAAATCATCGAATTACTGCTCCCGCCTGCGTGAGGCGGGAGGGAGTGTCAGACTCTTACTGATTAAAAACCACCGTTCCTTCTCCTGCACTTCGCGCCGGAGCCCCGGTAACCCGTTAAGTTCTCCTCGACCCCGAATCGGCATCATCCCTGTTGGGCCCCATCCGTGGTGGTCTGATGGCTCTTTGAGCTTCACGCTCGGGTCTGTTTCTGGTCGGACGGGGAGCCACCCATGCTCGCCGTCCGCCATCCCGCGCTTACGGTGGCCGGAGATCGTTCCGTGATCCCCGACGCCCGGAGTGTTCTATTCGACCATAGTGGACAATCTAATGGCTGGACCAACGCAATATTTATTATTTTATGTTTCTAAGGCGCTTTCTAAACTTTTTCTTCTGTAATATGAATTTGTATAAAGATTGTGAATATAGATTTTTGTTCTAGACACAAAATATTGTGTAAGTTATTGTATGAAGAAAAATCTTGTATGGATTTTATCTTACAAACAATACAAAGATGAAAACTTTCCAAAAAAGCTTGTAGTACGGCGGTAACCCCGTGCACACACAGACACACCCATCAATCATGCGAACGTTTGTTAACCAAACAATGTGTACGCTCCCTTTCTTAAGCTCATGGCTACGAAATATCTAAAGGCTAGCTTTTGTCCGCTATTTCATTCGCTGGCAAATTGATTTTTCCAGACGGAACCATTTCTGTCAGAGGAAATAAAACTAAAATGGGAGGACATAACTGTTGTCAGCATTCTTGCTTCAATGATTTACTTTCTCATAAAGTTTCAAAAATATAGGTATTTTTGTAAGGAAATGTAAAAGTCTGTTATTTAATACAGTGGTATAGTATTTAGTTTCGAAATTAAAACTAAAAAATTGGAACAAAACTTTGTTTTGAACGAAAATCAGACTCGAGACTTCCTACATTCCTACTAAGGGTACTACAACAATACTAGTGCCAAACACACCTACAAATATTAGTAGAACAATAACGTACTACAAACACACGCATACAGCTAGTAGGTAGGTATAGACAAATGGCAGCCTCGCTACCCCTCGTTAGTGGAGGCAGGGCACGTGAGCTCAGTTGCAACCCGACCGTCGACAGGAACGCGCGCGCCCTCCGCACCGTGTTTACAAACAAATAAACAAAAATAAAATATATTTATTAAAACAATATTTTCTCCCGTGTCGTGGTAATGCTGCCAACTATTCTATCGACGTTATTCATGTTCTATTTATTAGTATTACTTATCCTAGTGTTCCCACTGTCTAGGTATACTAAATCTAGCCTTTTGTTGGGAAATGACAATTGAATTTATTTTCTACTAAGTTCAACGACATTTAAAAACAAAGGAAATATAGACAAAGCAGTGTTTTTGTGACTACATTGTGTTTTTTTTTTGTGGATAAGTATTTTTATAAGTTTTTATTGTCATGGAGAGAAAAACGCCAGTTTGAACTAAGTTATATTTGCATCAAGAAGACTTTAAATCAATATTTTCTTAGAAGAGAAAAAATAAAGTGAAAATATTGTACTCACTTGAAAATACTCATAAAAGAAATAAACGCGGTAAACCAGTGAAAAAAATCATCGATTTGTTTACCAGTACCTTCACGTTTTGGCTGGACTAATAAATAAAAGAACTCCTCTTACATTGTCAAACTTTAAGTAATTACCGCGGTACTCTTATTACTTAATACCGTGTAAAGAGCTGACTGCGATAGCGGTCACCCAGTGCAGGACTATATTCAAGATACTTCGGTACGAGCGGCGATGCATACCGCTAGACACCGCGAATATGGTGCTCAAAGTAAAAGTCCGGCTTAAGTACTCACAGAACCACATCGTCTGGCTTTTCAAACGTGTAAGCTATATAATCTATCTTAACATTTTGAATTTCAGGCAGAAATAAAGGGGAGAAGGGGTTCTCTCTTTTCTTTGGGTACCTATACTTAGGGATCATGGAAGTGTGTTTAATTTTATTATGGATAACAAATTTAGCACCCTGCACCTTCGTTGTTATGTCCATTAACTTGTGTAACTGTCAATAGTCGAATACAATTGCATGAAGTTTGTCATAGAGATTCAAGATAAAGCTGTTGAAGTTCATTTTCAGTCGAATATTGCAAGGAAACTCATCAAGTTGCAAAATTCCCTTGCATTGTCAATTTTAAACTTGACAAGGCTAACATCACTCCACTCTCATTAATTACATTTCCGATACAAAAACAAACAAAACTTGAAAAACAAACAACAACAAAATGTAACTGATACAAGAAACTGCAACGTCCTTAGTAAATTATTCACAGACTTGATGCAATTAACCAGTCACGTCCGTAGGGGGTAATACCCACCCCCTTGTAAATTAAAACACTTGCATGGGGTTGGTTCGCCGTGAACTTAACCTTGGGACTCGACCTGTGACCTTACGGTGTGATAACCATCGGCCGGCGCTGGTCGCAAATGTACCTTTATTTATATAGTAAGTTGGCAAGCAATAGAGGGTTGGTTTCAGACTTCAGTAATTGTTTTTCATTGGACGTTTTCTATTACTCGTTGTTATGTTATGTAGGTGTGGATTTGCTGCAGTTTTTTTCATTATCTTTAATTAATGGGATGTTTTGGCAATTAATTATAATAAGGGATGTTTTATAAGGTTTATACACCACTGCAATAAGGTTGGTTTTTGTGCAACTTAATTAGTATCGACTTTTTTACTTAAACAATTTGCCAATATGTAGATTTTTTCGATGGCATGTAATAGACAAAGAAAATCTTTTATATCACTTACTTTTACCAACAATAATCAAAGGTAGGTATCGAACCCGGTTCAATTTTGTTCCTGAACTAGTGACGATGCCGTCGTATACTATATTTAACAAGGCGTGGTCTTTAACGCCTATGTATGTTGTAAAGTTGGTCCAATAATATGTCTGTATGTCCAGGGTCGAGGACTGACAGGGCTGAAGAACTTGGGCAACACGTGCTACATGAACTCCATCATCCAGTGCCTCAACAACACCGCCATACTCGTCACCTACTTCTGCAACGGACAGTATCTGGAACATGTCAACAGGTTGGTACCTGACACTTGACAGGTTTCTGCCAGCGTCATTTGTTCTTTGAATATTGTCTTTATGATTGGACTATGAAAGTATTTCCCAAAAATTGTTCTGCCAAGACCCAATCATTTTTATTTTGTCTCTTTGGGATCTATACTAGGAATACGTAATGTTCCAGGTCCCACAGCACTCGCGGCGCGATAGCGGAGGAGCTGGCGGCGGTGGTGCGCGCGCTGTGGTCCGGCCAGTATCGGTTCATTGCCACCAGGGATCTACGGGTATGTCATACATCGCATATTGTTCTACTTTATGATAGAACTTTTGCGAAATTTGCTCAAAACAGCCATTATTTTCTTTCCCATTTTCCGTACCAGGTTATACTGAACCGATAAAAACTTAACGCCAAAGACGAAATTATCAGAATCGAATAACTTTATCTTTTCACACTAAATACTTTGGTCAAGAATTCATCTTGCGATTTCTTTTTCGTTATTTCTGATAATACCGAAGAATGAGTAATGTCCGAGCGTGAAACGGCCTTTAAAATTGATTAACAGATAAATCTGGTTTTACTATTCAAAAGTATCTGCCATTTAAAACAATTTCCTCTGGTGGTCTCCAGAACGAGGTGGGCAAGCACCAGCGCGCGTTCCGCGGGTGTGAGCAACAAGACTCGCACGAGTTCCTCACCATCCTCATGGACTGGCTCCACCTCGACCTGCAGTTCTCCATCAACGTGCCGCAGCACAAGGTACGCCTACACCTCAATGTCAAATATATCTGCTTACCTTTTATAGATGTTTTAGAATTTGCAATTAATTTGTCGTGAACTCGTTACAAAAACCAGGTTAGCTAAATACGTCTTTGTTTATCAGTTGGTGGAGTAGTAAACGTGAATACCATTGCACTATAATATTTAATTTATTACTTTACTCACAGTTGCGCGGAATTCTGGAAAGATTATCCAAAATCTTTAAATCTCTTTCGATTTTTGAACAGGAATTCGCATATCATAACCATTATCATCATCATCATCATCATCAACTTCGTCTTCGTCAATTTCCACGTTGAAAGACAACTCGCTACCTGCATCGATTTACTCCCCGCAACTCTCAAAAACTCTCCCCAAAAATCTATAAAGATATAGAACACAAAGCTAAAGAATATGTACCTATGTAACTTACAGGACAACCTGCCCCCCTCCGAGAAGGCGTGGCACGAGTACACCAAGTCGAAGGAGAGCCTGATCCTCCGGCTGTTCTACGGGCAGATCAAGTCGACGGTCCGCTGCACGGTCTGCGGCAAGCAGAGCGTCACGTACGAGTCCTTCTCCAACCTGTCGCTCGAACTGCCCGCCAACGCCAACCGCTGCTCGCTCAGTGTCAGTCACCAACACTTTACTACTGCTCAATGGGGGGGGGGGGAATCATCCTATTACTTCTGACGCCTTGGGTAAGGCGAGAGGGAGTGTCAGACTCTTACTGACTAAACACCACCCCATTCTTACTCCTGCTCTTCGAGCCGGAGCCACGGGTACCCGGATTTATGGGGGGGCTACCCTCCTTTTACTGTGGTCAGTAGAAGGAGGAGCATGGATCTTACTCTAGCTATTACCAAATAGCTAGAGTAAGGTCCTATTATATATATATATATATATGCTAGTCTAATTATAATTAAATGTCCAATGGCTCTGCGCATTAGCAAATATAGCATTAACGGGCAAGTAACATCTCACTACTGGTGTAGCGGTAATGTGTTTACCGGCAGGATACTTGCCCTCATCTCTCAGACATCATCACCAAAAATACAAAGAAGACTTGCACAGTTATCTTTATTTTCCTTTACAAAAGAACCTTAAGAAATGTTAAAATTGTCACTTGGTAGCATATTTACTAAACAAACAATATTTTTCTTCCACAGGATTGTCTAAAACTATACCTGAACGACGAGACGATACCAGGATGGAACTGTCCCAACTGTAAAGAGAAGCGAGACGCCCTGAAGAAGCTCGACATCTCTAGGTTACCGCCAGTACTGGTCATTCACTTCAAGCGGTTCTACGTGGATCCTAAAGAATATATGTGTAACGCGTATCGTAAGAAGCAGACGTACATAGACTTTCCTTTAGAAGAGCTGGACATGCGACAGTTCGCGCACTGCACCAGCTCGCACGCGTACAACCTGTACGCCGTGTCCAACCACTACGGCTCCATGGAGGGCGGCCACTACACCGCCTACTGCAAGAGTAGCGTTTACGGCAAGTGAGTCATACTTTTCTGAATTTCTTCCTCCTTCCCCGCGAGACACAATGTATTTTCTATTGTAAACCAGCATTCAAGAGGTTAAACGTCATTGCTTATGCAATATCGTCCTCTAATTATCCTTGTGTCTATTTTCAAGACAGCTGTTGTTTTTCATACTTTTTGCATTTACTAATTACTAGATGTCGTCTCAGGCGATGAATGTTAATCTAAAGACTTTATCGTCTGCTAGCGCCTGCAGCAGTAAAAGATAACAAGAAGCTAAGCGTAGAGATACAGTGTCCCTTGTATAGTTGCACATCAGTACAGAAGAGATATGTTCCAGATGGTACAAGTACGACGACCACGTGGTGACGGAGATCCCGTCGAGCGAGGTGAAGTCCAGCGCCGCCTACATCCTGTTCTACAGCACGCGCGCCTCGTGATCCCAGCCACGCCACAAGCGCAAGCACCCCGACACCGCGCCGCCCGCGCCCCCGGCCGCGCCGCCGGCCGCGCCGTCGGCCGCGCCGTCCGCGCCGTCCGCGCCGTCGGCCGCGCCCTAGCGCCGCGCTCGTGGCCCGCCGCGTGCCGACATACTGCGACAGTACAAGGCCGACGTGTTTACAAAAGACAATGGGACTCTTACATACGATGATGCAACGATTCAGTCAGAATCCACTGCAAGCGGTCCAAACATCTCTCTGCTGAATCTATCTCGATAAATTTATAATTAAGGCGTTTGATTAGCGCATAATTCACTCAAGTGTGGTTGATAAAGTAATTTTACAATACGACTCGTTTACAGTGGATTCTCACTTAGTAATCCTATAGCAAGTATTTATATATTTATTTAAATATTTAATCTACAATATACAATTACAAATAACCTTAAAATGTTAGTCGAAGCGGCACCAATTTTGCGAATAGGAACTAAAGTATTTATATGTTTGCAGGATTGGGGCCGTTTAATAAATATATATGCAATATATCACATGGTTTTTATGAAAAACTACTAAAGATCTGTTTCAACACCTCCGGGCAAGTTTTGAATATCTGTTAGACAAAATAACACCATGTATAGTCAGTATGTGCAATGTGATTGGTACGGAGGTAGCGAGATAGTGCACAAGGTAGGTACACGTTACGTAGCGAACTACGAACCATGCGTCTATCTCACTCTTACCCCTGTAGAAATATAGCTGTGCGAGTGAGATAGATGTGAAGTCTGTTACATAACGTGTATTTACCTCGAACTAAAGCTTATAGTTGTAAAATGATTGATGTATAAACTACGCCTTGTACAAATAGCTTTCCATGTTATGATGACATAGAGTTAATATTTCATTAATTTATTCTAATATTTTTAATTTCTTTTTTGTTAATGTTGCAGTTGTATTTTTTTACTATTTTGAACTTTAACTATGAAGTGACATAGTTGCTTTATATTGTCTTCTTTATCCTTTCATCTTTTTATACAGAAATGTCAATATAACTTGATTGCTCTGAAGCTCGTCGCGAGACAAGGGTGTGTTTGTAGCTAACTTCATTCCGGTCAAGATGTATTGTCATGACTGTTCACTTTGCAATGACTGCAACATGTAATGCGGCGCACGTACGTTGTACAGCCACAGGTCGGGCAGGGAGCCACGACTAGTGTAGTAGGCGACTGTACAAGTGGATACTGACATTTTAATGTCGATCGAGAGTGAATGATATTCGTGAATGAACACTTAATGTTTATGAATGAAAGACTGAACATGATTGGTATTGTACCTAGATGTATTCCATGTTTGTATTGCACGTGACATGGCCGCTTGTTTCTTTGTAACTGGTGACTTAGCAATTTGGAAACTCAAGTCAATATGGACATTTTATATACATTATATAGCGTTTCTATGTACATATATCTAATCCAAGGACGAGACAGCTGTCGAATTTACGCCAATTTAATTATTAAGACAATTTATTACTGACAATATGATGATCTGATTCGAAAAGTCACAGTTATGGCAAGAGTACATTACAGTGGCGTGGCGTGACGTGTCGTGCCGCGTCCAAAGCATATCGGTTTCGTACATTCACTATGATTAGAGACACACTTGTATATCGAGTCGCGTCGCGTGGCTTGCTAAATGCTTGAAACCGATTAATGGTCACGGCTTCAGGACACGACAGTCCACACTTCCACAGTAATGTATATCTGCCTTTATAATGCTATGAACGCATTGCTTATCATTTTAAATTTCGGCATTGGATCATCACTTGGATAATGTAATTTGGTATAAACTTAGTCATTTAAACAGTCAATATAAATAAATAGGGAATTTGTAAAGCTCTGTCTACCTTTCGAATACAGAGTACAATTGAATATTAGTAATAATCAATGTACTCTTACTCAATATATGTAACTACTTGAATTTAGTTTGTTTCGCTAAATCACCAGACCTAGTTAATTAAATAACCAGTGTACGCATTATGCATAAATAAATATGACATCACTATTATAGGGATGATGATGAGTACGAAAATATGACAGCTTTATTGAGCCCATCCATTATATTATGAGAAAATTAGGCACTAGCTGACCCGGCAAACTTCAAAGCGCATCAAAAATTTTTTTACCTGACTGATTTCTCACCTCTTACCTTCCCTGGTCTACGACGAACATCTCAAGACCAAAATTAGCGAAATCGGTTGAGCCGTGCTCGAGTTCTATCGAGACTAACGAATGGAAATTCATTTTTATTTTTATAGATGTTTAGCTAATTATGTCCCAAAGAAGCAAGGATTTTTAAACTGTCAAACACCGCGCGGACACCGGTGACCGCAACCTATTGTTCTTTAATTGTGTCTATAATGACGGTACTCAAAGAGACCAAGACCAATACATTGTCATATGTGTACAATATTTTTAATTAACCTAAGAGCTCATTGAAATTTATCGGTTCATCATCCCTATTCATATAACTGTGGAAGTGTAGATCTCACTGTAACTTATACCGAGTACTTTAATGTAGTGCAATTTATTCTAGTATTTCCAAAAATATGTTGGGAAGTACTTGGCCTACTGGACTTAACAACATTTGATCGCATGATGTGTACACAATTAATTTTGATTTACCAGCAGTTAGCTGTGATCTATCTCATTAACTGAATACTTCAAAAAAAATGCTTCACCATCTTGGACATATGCCATTTGCAATGATTTCAATAAAAACATTACGATTTGGTCTCGAAAAACATTTTTTGTTATAACTGTTGTATGAACATTTGTATATAGCATACATTAATGGTTTATTGTATGTAAAATATATGTAAGACAAACTTTATTAAATTCTTTGTTAATATATACTATTTCTTGTTATTTTTTCCTTATACTATGGTGGGTTTTGAACTTATAACATCTTAATATAATATATTATTTAATTACTTCAGTAGTATCACAAATTAAATGTTTTACTTATTTTAATTTTATACACAAAGAGCCCGTGTTTCACTCGCCTTCAACTAGCATTATGTATTTCCTAGCTGTTAAAAAACATTCTGCCTTCAGCAGCCAATCCTTGTCAAAGGTGTTTCATGAATCACTTAGTTCAATCTCTTCCTAAAATTCTTCTCATTGTTTAGATTGCATCAACATGTTCATTTCTATCAAGCAGTTCTCCATATCCTCATCGTCTTCTAAACCATTATCCAAGTCCTCTTCATCTTCTTCCATATCGGACCGATTCATATTTCTATTTGCTGAAAATGAAATATTACGACTTTTATTATAATTCAAACTTTTAGTCAAACTTTGTTGCTGAAAGTAAGGCAACAATAATCACAAGAAAATGTATTTAATCTGAATCAAAGTATTTTAAAATAGAAATCCTGTATCCTATCATGCCATTAATTAGGTATGTGAATACACTGTAATATGTAGTGTTTATCGTTTTGTTTGTGATTGTGAATTGTGATTATTTCTGTACTGAAATAATCAGGAATAGAACTTGTAGGAAACATGTTACAAAAAATTTATTGTGACACTTACCAAACACAGAATCGGTGACAGATAAATTAAGTTTTTCAGTATTGCAGATCTCATCATCAATGTTGCTGAAAGGCACATCAAACTCTAAAGAAGGTGTCATAGGTATGCTTGGATTATCTGCTGAAGTTGGCACAAGAGACTTGGAAGTTGCAGGCTGAGTAGTCTCATTACTATTATCTGTTGCATTACTTGGTAATGTACTATTTATATACTGTGGTGTTGGAGCGACACTAGTTTGTATTAAGGTGGCAGTAGAAGGTACTGTAGCAACAACAGTACTTGGGGCTGATGATAAACTATTCTTCAATTCCTCATTCAAAACAGATGCTCTTAAATTTTCTAAATGTAGTTTTTCAATCTGAAAAATATATAAAAATATGATCATTATGGCCACATTTAATTGTGGTATTAATCTAGTGCATTACGGCATTAGAATTTGTTTCTTTTTTATTTTTCATACTGATTTCCAGGCAATTATAATAGGATAATTTCAAACAATAGGATAATTTCAAACAATACGTAATGTAGGTGTATCCTTAGCAGATTTCAGGGTTGGAGTGTAGTTGCTACACACTGACCGATTTCAGACAATAGAATTCCTTGCAACTTAAATCTAAATATTGTAAAATAATTAATAGCTGAATAATATTGAATATTATGAAGTGTAGTTTATTTGTTTACCTGTAAACTATTTCGTTGCTGTTTGAGTTTCCTCAGTGCGTCTATAATCCATTTTTCTTCCGCTAGAAGCTGTGCTTCCTCGGCTATTTTCTGACTTAGGTGCGTATTTATTCTGTGCATGTTGGTTCTGCAAAATTTACAGCCTGCCTGTTGTTGTACCTTGTTTACTAAAATTAAACAGAAAGTACAGCTGGAGCGGGAGGAGTTTGTTTTTATTATGACTGACACTTATTATACTCTTTGATTATGACAGTCAGACAGTGACAGTCAGTGTGACACAGTGATTGACAGTGATTTCATAGACAGCGTTGACTATTTATAATATGGAGAACAGACAGTCCAAAGACAAATAAAATATACGGGTTTCAATCCTTTCCAAAAATGTTCCTTTCATTATTGTATTTTGTAAAAGCAAATTATAATAATAGATAAGGACAAAAGGATTAGGCAACCATAAACAACGTAATTGTCATTCTCATTAGTATCTATGGTCCAAAAATTCCACAAATACCGACACTGGAATAAATTTTGAAGTCAAATAAAATTAAAATCGCGGTCAGGCGAGGCTGAACAGTGATTCGAGCAGTCTTGTTGCGTTCGCCGCGTTGTAGTCGCGTACACAAAAACTATAAAGATTTCGATAGTCCTAAAGAAATCTTTCGTTAACCGAAGTTATAAATAGAATAGAATAATAAACAATGGCTTACTCCTCGGAATCGGAGTCGGACAACGAGTATGAGCAGGTGTGTACTCGAGGAGGACGATGTGGCAGCGAGAGTGTTGCTTTACCCTTCGACTCCGCGTGTATCGAAAATGTGATATTATCAATAAGCGACAGTTTTGATTTCCGCGTTATCATGAGCGATGAGAGGACTAAGGGAGCCCTCCTGGTGACCACTGGACTGGCTATAGCTGGAGGGCTGATTGGTCGCCATTATGGCGGGAAAATTGGAGCCGCTGTTGGTGGAGCTGTGGGCGGCGCTTGCGGTCTTGGGATAGTCGGTAAGTTATTAGACACGAATTGCGCATGATTCTATCCTCATTATCCTTACAAATGTCTTGTTTATTTATTATTTAAATCAACATCTCTTTGAAAGTTATGGCATAATTCCAATATTTACAGTCATATACAAAAATAGTATATTGAGTCATACAATTTATACTTTCTAACAACCACAACACAGACAGATAACAGGTAGCTTACCAACTACCTGTTATCCATCAAGTTGAATTCTTTTTGATAAGAAATCAAAGTAATTTATATCTCTTTAAAATCACAATCTACCTTCTAAAAAATGAAAATAAAATATTCCTTTGTTCCAGCTGTTTCTATGAGGAGCATTTGGCAAGATATTAAGGATAAGCTCTCAGATTTGTTTGAAATGGTGTACGACTACTTAGCTGGACTGGGATTGGACGACTACAAGCGTGCAGCTATGTTCCTTACACAACAAGGTGACAAGACACAACTGGCAATGCTCATACTCGAAACAGCTTCTAGCATCCTTGGCAAAAAGATTCTGTCTAGCATCACTGCTGCATAATAAAATAAATTTTTAACTATTACATTAAAAAAACAAAAATAATGACATCAGCTGTAATTGAGATCTAAATTATGAAATGAATTTCGCAATGAATTGTGACAAATAAAATTAGGACTTAAATTCTTATTCAATAAATGAAGACAGAGTATTTTATATGAAATGTTGACCATTTTTAAAAAGTTTATGACATTGTGATAATTTTGACCCAAACATTAACTTTATTTTCATGTTGATCATGAAGGTAAAGGTTGAATTTCATTAGGGTATAATTATAATGTATATCAGAAAATTTCATTCAGTTTAGAAAAAATAATTAGTTAGATCAATCTCTGTGAGATATTGTCTGTGTGTTACCATGTTATTTGTCTTGTATTTTATAAAAATTGTAAAAATATTTCAAGGTCATTCATATTGTAGCATAATATTAATATTTTTAAGTAATTAGGTTTAGTCTAGTAGGTACTTTTAGTTAATAAGTCGTGTTAGTTTAGTTTATATGTTTCTAATATTGCTATCATGTATTGTAAAATGTATAGGTATATGTGGTTTGTATATTGTTTTAATAAAGAATGAAGGTGCAAGTACCAATAAATATGTTTTTTACTGTACAAGAAGTTTTATTTAAACTTACACATTGTAGAACATATTTTTTTTAAAAAAGAGTAACGAATGGAGTTTCTTTCTCGTTCTTCTCCATTCAAATGCATTCGAATCTACATTTTGTAATGAGCGCCTAGCTTCACTGACGGACTGACTGACAGACTATTATGTATTTATTGACGTTTCAAAAGTACCAAATTATGGTATAATTGAAATAAATGCTTTGACTTTGACTACTTAGATTTAATTTCTGGATTCGACGTGTGTTTTATTTTCGATTATCGAGACTTGTTAATTTTTTTCCGCAATGTTTTAGTAACATAGAGCTGAGTCTGACACTATTATTATAGGAGTAATATTTCTCGAATAATGGTTCGTATCTTCGTTCCGCTTGCCCTAAACCAAACTTTTCTATTTTTTCCAAGTCGTCCATCTCATTTTCCGTCTACCCACATCTCGAGTATCACGGTCTCCTATCATTGTGCACTTTGAAATTGCGTATTAATAGGCAGGTACCTTTTTATACGACAAAATAGATTTACCTACTTAATTGCCGATAAAAAAATTAGATAAACAGATATCGATAGCTGATACCTAATTTATGTATAATAAATTAGCCACCAGGCGTCTTACTATATTAATTAAAATAACGTTTCTGAATGGCTTTAACGTAAAATTAAGGCTGTAGGTAGCTGATGTGATGTGAAGATAAGAACTATTACACCAAAAAGTATTTTGTCCGAAACACACACGGGGATTCCTATAATTTAAATTGAAAGTCCTTGCTTTAAAATCTGTCGACCAACCATTTGTGTCAATTTCTTATTCGATTCTCAACTTTATTACTAATACATTAAAGTTAAATATCCAATGAACAAAATGGACAGATAGAGATTGGAGTAGGTCTAAGATAAAAATGAACCGGGGCATTCCCCGTTTTTATAACAAAATTTTGTTACTGATAACTAATTTTTTTTACTGTTCTACAGTAGAAAGGTGGCAGTCGTGAAGCACCGAGTACGTCACTTCTGAAACGTTGCGGATTTATTATTACAGACGGGATTTAGGACACTTTGGAACAAGAACAAAACGTTGCCACATAACTTTTTAAATTCCGTTTAAGTACGTCAAAATACAAGTGACGTTTGGATAGAAATTAGAATATTTTTGTTTACTTGCCAAAAGTTATATTTTGGTCCGTCTGAATAATTCATTCAGCAAAACTAACCAGTGTGTACGCAGATATAATAGTAAAATATTTAAAATGGACATGCAAGTGCAAAATTTCGACGGCCGTCAAGTGAGGTTTGACCGAGTTTGGATAGAACAAATTCTACTGCAAATTTGTAAGTAACTCATTTATATTTTCTGTAATATTAGAAATATATACTATTTTCAAAGGTTAAGGATCAATAGCACACGTCATTTGTAGTAGTAGCTACTAATATTATACAAATTAAGTACTTATGGTAGTTTCAGGAATCCAGAATTATTTGTAAATGTAATGAATAATTAAATAACTCGAGCAAGGTACTTAATAATATGACCATCGACCTTTGGTTATCAAAATATGTTACCCAGAAAGAAACAGAGTACTTCTATCCTAAACGGTTACAACAATATTGTTATTTATTTATTTAAACTCTGTCATCCTGACCTCAGTGAAATATTTTATCATAACTTATTAGTTGGACAATTTTAACCACTATGTTGTGATTACTACCGTTTTAATTGAGGTCCTGAGTTTTTAGTAAGTAGGATATAACTAGAAATGTTAAAACATAGTAACTACTCATGTAAAATTGTTTTAGGTTTTCTTAAAAAGTCTAAACAGTTGTATTCCGGGTCAGCATCAAGGAATATACTACTTATTAGGCTGCATGTAAATACACCCAAAACACAGACCAAATACTTGCTTAATTTTCAAAGTCAAAGTATTTATTTCAATTGAACCATAGTTTGATACTTTTGAAACGTCAACAAATACAAAATAAATAATAGTCTGTCAGTCAGTCCGTTAGTAAAACTAGGTGAAGCTCGGTGCTCATTCCAAAAAGTAGATTCGAATGGAGAAGAACAAGCAAGAAACTCTTGAAAATAAATATTTTACTATAAATAAATAGGTAAAGAATGATTAGCAGGTTGTTAGCATAATAAATTGCCATTATTGATTTTCTGTTCAAAATATTTACTACACACCAACAACTTTCATACATTGAGTAACCTTATGCCATTTATGTACCTGTTTTAATAATTTTATGCAGTTCTTTGTTAGCAAGCATGACTGCTTGCAAATATTATCTGTCTGTCTGGTTTGAATAACAATACAAAAACATATTTCCTGCGATTGTATGTTTGAGTTATATCAGTTGGTACATCCGACATGTTTAATACTCTGAAGGGTTAGATAAAGGTATGTGATATAACAAAATATTATATGTAATTCTTCAAGTTCCTCATACAAGGGATGGCCAAGTGTCTGTATTAATGGGCCAGCTCAACCATAGTGATACACAACCTCACAAAACACTTGCGTAAAATAATGCTTGCATTGTCTTTCACTGTTTGAGTGACGATACCAGAGCTCTAATTTTCTATTACCAATGGGGTACTGAATACGTATGTCCGTGTGCGTTACCCAGGCCAGATGTTGTTAAAATAGTAATTCGAATCTTATAGATAACTAGTTGTGCGGCTTCTGTAATTGTTGTGCACATTTTTAAATTTGTTGCGCTTATAGTTTATTAATTATTTCACAAAAACATTTCCTGCTGGGGTAACGTTACCCCAGCCAGACCTTTTTTTTCTAATGGGAATATTTAAATAATTACTAGCTATAAAATTAGTTGTCTCGATGAAGTAAATGTTGTGCCAATAAGAGCTCTAAAGACTTACTTTAAACGTTATTTTAAAGCTTGTAATTGCCTTCAAATGTATGTGAAGTTTCATTTGTATCCTGTGAGTATTGAACAAGTTATGATGATATTGAGTTCTTTACGAGTATGGTCTTGTTGCGCGCGGTGTTATTTGGCCACTCGATTGGATATACCCATAGATCCCCAAGCGGTCACCGGTGACCGCTCTCCATTAATATTACATTACATTTTACACCTTATTTCCAATGTTTAGAGACTACTTTTGTATGACCAAATTTAGGGGATGGATTTCAACGGGTTTATATGAACTGAATGTTATGTCAATAAATAGTTGTTTAGTTCAGTTGTATATCAGTAAAATTTCAGTGCAGTACCTACATTGGATAATTAATATGATAATACGATTAACGTCATTAGAAAGTGAATGACCGTGGTAACCCGACTAAGTTTAGGTGGTTACGAAAAAGCGAAAACGCAGAACATTTTACTATCTTTTGAAAACTGAATGTTATAGTGAGAGTGCAAAGACCAATTGAAGTGATTTTCTATTCAATGAAATAAACTTTGCGCTATGTATTATTTTGGTTGTTTTATTGCAGAACAAATTTAAATTAATTCCTAAGAAGCCATGTGCAAAATATGATAAGAATCCGCTTAACCATTTCAAAGATCTAACAAAACCAAAAATGTTACCCCGGCAGAATCTCGAATAACTTCGCAACCAATGAAAGAACAAATACAAAATAAAGCACAAAATTTACTTCATCTAGACAACTGATTTTATAGCTAAGAATTATTTAAATATTCCCATTAGAAAGAAGGTCAGGCTGGGGTAACGTTACCCCAGCAGGAAGTGTTTTGTAAAATAATTAAAAAACTATAAGCGCAACAAATTTAAAAATGTGCGCAACAATTACAGAAGTCGCACAACTAATTAAATGACCATTTTCGACAACATCTGGCCTGGGTAACGCACACCGTATGTCCTCTGTTTTTGCGAGTATTTACGAATGTTGCTGATTTCTTGATTACTCAAGGTTATTTTTTTTTTCAATCTCTTTGACTGGATTTAGGTGTTGCATTGTTCTCACACAATCGAACCAACAAAACTATGTACTATAAAAAAGTAACCTATGGAGTTTCTTGCTCGTTCTTCTCCATAGGAACCTACACTTTTGAATGAGCAACTAGCTGCACTTCGAAATTTTTGCTATTGACATTCAAAAGTGCCTTCCTGGTCTATTTGAAATAAATGATTTTGATTTTGACTTCTTAATACTGTTTGTCACTCTATCCCATAAAAAAATATCCTCATTTAAGGTGGTAAATAATGTTTCAGCTGATGCCTTTGAGATTCGTATAGTATGGGACGGCAATGCGGCCCTGTTGACAACAGTGATGGCAGTCGCTGGGGGTGTAATGGGTGGGTACGCTGGAGGTAGAGTTGGTGCAGCGCTCGGAGCTGGTATTGGAGGAGCTGCAGGATTTGGAGTGTCAAGTGAGTTACTGGTTGTTTTAACATTTTTATTGTTATTGCAACACATTATTTCAATATTGGATATATTGTATAAAGACAAACAATGATTATTTTTGACATTATTTAGCAATGGCTTATCTGATGAAAAAAAGTACGCCTTTTACTTCTCAAAAAGGGGATATGATAGGAAGTTATGATCCCAATGTAATAGGGGCGAACCTCATAATGCCAGTTGCACTAATTAAATTAAGCTAACAATCTACCATTACATTACAGCTGTAGTCTCATTAAGACAAATATGGGAGTCAGTGAAGGAGCGGTTGAACGAGCTGCTGTTTATAGTATTCAACTATCTCCGAAGACTGGATGCTGTGGACTACATGAATGCGTTCAGAATCCTTATGAGGTGCATGGAGAGCAGGAGGGAGCTGGTCTTCACGATCGTAGAGTTCATCGCTGAGAAACTAAGCACACAAGTTATGTCCAGTATTCATTACCATCACTGAATATACTGAGTAAGTTTACTGTTCTGGTGCAATGTTCCTCGAACAAACTATACAACATGTAACTTAAATAACACACATCCTGAAAATAGTTTGTTCAGTATCGCTAACTGAATCGATTTATATAATTTTTAGTATAGGTAATTTTTATCCCAAAAATAATTAAAACTACGGAAATTATTGTCATATTAACCCTGTATTTTTAAAACAAATCGAAATGGACCGTAAGTCAAAGCAATAAGACTTTTAAAATCGCAGTTTTATTTGTATTCATACAAATTCTGTCATTCAATACAAATTAAAGAAAAATAAACCTTATGACAAGACCAGTAAGGATGCTTAGACATGTTAAATTAAAAATTTTGTGTGTGTATTATGATTCTAACATAATATTCTAATTGGGGTGTTTGAGGGTGTGCGTTAATTACGTTACATGTTGTATATCTGTGCAAGTACAGGCGCAATCAGTGTTAGCCTTTTTGTATACGATGTACTTTAAGCGTGTTGTACGCACATATGACCTTAAATATTTAAAGTAACTAGTCATCATAGCGAAGGAGTAAGTATCTTGCTGTTCTTTCCTTACCGTATGTATCTATAAATAAGAAATGTGCACCAACTTTTGATAGATTATTGGGTTTCAAAAGTCTTATGTGTGTGGAACAATCGAATAAAATGTTTTTATTTGAGGGTACGAAATACGAAGTGAACTTAGTGCACCTGTCTGTCGCGGAGAACCTAACGGGTAACCGGGGCTCCGGCTCGACGTGCAGGAGAAGGAACGGGGTGGTTTTTAGTCAGTAAGAGTCTGACACTCCCCTCCGCCTCACCCAGGCGGGAGCAGTCATTCGATGATTTTAAAAAAAAAAAAAAAAAACGATACGCTAACGATACGACTACGGTTAGAATCGACGTTAGCTTAGTACTAGCTCAATACTTTGTGACTGCTTTAGTTTCCTTAGGCTGGAACTGAATGCAGGAATTAATGTGATAAACATAGTCTTAACGGAATCAAATAATCTGATTGTATAAAATTGTAAACCTTTTAAATCTTTGCAAAGGTCATTTCACTTAGATGATATAATATATTATTACAATTTCACTTAGATGATATATTATTACAATTACTTGGAAGGTGTTGAAGAAGACTCTTAGATTGTAGAAAAAGTGAAAAATGCTCGTATCATTTGAAATAGTTTTCTTTTAAATGTAGACTGAAATATAGCTGCTTTAATGCAGCTTGTGACTAACATGAACTTAATGGCAAATGTATGAATTATTATTTTATGACTAAACAATGAATTTCTTTTGTTTTCGCTGTCGAGTCTTCTGATATTTTAATAATCTGTATTAAATAATGTTTTTAAAAATATTGTACTGAATCAAGGTATCTGTTGTTGTTGGCCAACATGTATTTGTTTTTCATTGTAAAATATTTTATATAATGTGTTTAATATGAAATAAATGTACATTCAAGGCTCATAAAGATATACTAGGTATCAAAAATGATAAAGTTATCAGGTATTAGTTGTACATACTTTTATCTAAAAAGAAATCAAATTAGCATAGCACGCGTGACGTCATCTGACATCGATACATACAATAGTATAGATAATATTTATTTTTTTATATTTGTTGGGGCGACGTTTGACCACTATCTCGCCTGGTGGTAAGCTATGATGCGGTCTTCGATAGAGCACGTCGTCCCATAAGCAACCTATTCACACGGGCCTTGAAGACTCCCAGGTTATACCCTTCAGGAAATACAGACTGGCAAAAAAATCCACTCTTTAGCAGTACGTACAAGGAAGCTTGAAGCGAAGTTTTAGTTTGTATTATAATAAATAGGTATGTTCCTGTATGCTGTATTCATTAAAAAGCGTTAGTTTCACTAACGGTTGGCAACGCACTTGTGACGCATCTACTGTTTTACTTAGGCTATAGTGTCCGCTTACTATCGCGCCAACCGTAAGCTTTGTCGCGGAGAACCTAACGGGTTACCGGGGCTCCGGCTCGACGTGCAGGAGAAGGAACGGGGTGGTTTTTAGTCAGTAAGAGTCTGACACTCCCTCCCGCCTCACCCAGGCGGAAGCAGTCATTCGATGATTTTCCCCCCTTACAAAAAAAACCGTAAGCTTTGTTACTACCAAAAGTGGTGATATTATTCTTATTCAATCATTTCTGGTAATACCACGCCTTTTTAACCCCGAATGGGTAGACGGAGGTGCACATTATGGCACTTAATACCACTGTACAATGTAACCACCCACTTTTCAGTATTTATGGTGTGAGTCTCATGTAATAGGGGGTGAGTGTTTTGCCATACACCGGGCACAGTTCCAGAATCCGTGCTACTAATAATATTTTTTTAATTCCAGTAATAATTTACCCGTCCCGGGAATTGAACCCAAGACCCTTTGCCCGGCAGTCGCACTTGCGACCACTCGGCCAACGAGGCAGTCAATTATTTGTGACAACTGTTAATTGTGTGGATAGCTCAAAAATAAGGTCGCCCTTTTAATGTTATGATGTTGATAATAAATTGCACCTTTGTGATATTTTTGTATGTATGATTAGTATGATTACGCTTAAGAAGTCCAATAACAGTATAAAAACAATTACAGTTTTTGAGTTTGCATACCCGAGATGGCGCTAGTGAGACTTTGGACTGACTAATGACTTGCGCCATAAATAATTATTCTATTTCCATAGACACTAGTGCCCCTTGTAACGGGACCTTCATTTATGGTTTGTTAATATTAAATATTAAAGTGCCTTGTATACTGCTCAATTCTATGTACAGACACATATCAAATTTGTTATAAGTTGTTCTGGAATATGTTCATTAATTTAATATCTACCAGTAAATCTGAATGTATTGTAATTATGTTTGTAATACTTTGGGCCTGTTTCATAATGTCTAATGAATGTTACTGTTAGCTTAACTGATTAATATTTTGAAATCAATAACAGTTTTGGAGATAGCGGGCAGCCTTGTCTTACACCTTTATGGGTATCCGTGGACCTTATCAAGTGTTTGTTTGGCTACACATCGAGCTTTACATAACCAGTATAAACTGAACGTTAAATGTGCGGAAAGATGATGCGACGCGATACCAGAATTAAGTGGTTTTGTATAGATTGATGTGTGACCGTGTGTACAATTAATCAACGTTCGACGTTTTGTGATCTTAAGGCGGTCCATATAGAAGAGTGGCAGATTATGTTAAAGGCATTCTGGTCATTGATGAACACTATGTAGAGTGATTACTGGTATTTTAACGCATTATAATTATTTTGAATTCGAAATGTATTAAATCAGTAATTAAATTTTTATTGTTACGATTCCCATAACTTTTATAATAATTATCATAAGAAACATAAATAGTCCATAGTCCACTACTGGACTCTCTAGAGCCTTCTCTACAAAAGAGGAGTTTTCCATCATCCCCTCGCTTGGCAGGCAGGGTTGGAGATCGCAGTCTTAAAAGGTTTATAAGAGATCGAGATGCTACCCGATCTCTGTTTCAGATCGATTATCATCTGTCAGTTAGACTAACAGAAAACTAATCAGACATTGTTATTATATATTTTAAATGTTATAAGTATCCAAAGACACAATACTTATAGTACCTAGAATATTTTAGTTAATTAAGTTTGATGCAAATATTTTGAATTTGTTTTCGTTCTAGTGTTATTTTTGTATTAAATGGTGTTGGAAATAAATCGTTTACATTTTTTTAAATGGATTTTTATTTGTAACAGTCCTGTTGTTTATTGCAAAAATTGGATGTGACATATTACGCTGTAGTAGGTATCATGGCCTACAGCACAGTACTACAGTATCCCTTTGTCACGTCGCGGAGAACCTAACGGGTTACCGGGGCTGCGGCTCGAAGAGCAGGAGAAGGAACGGGGTGGTTTTTAGTCAGTAAGAGTCTGAAACTCCCTCCCGCTTCACCCATGCGGGAGGAGTCATTCGATGATTTTCCCCCCTTAAAAAAATCCCTTTGTCACGAGACAAATCAATGTACTACATAATTTTCATAAAATCTTTTTAAAATTCTCAAAAACTAGAGGTATCGTCTAATCGAAGCCCATAATATTATATTATAATAGAAGTGGTACTTATTGCTAGACTTGTTTCTAGGAGACACGACCCGTCCACCCACTGGTTAATTTTTTTACGGCCACACATATTCTTGAATCAAGTTCCATTTAACTTTACTTGAGAAATACCTCGGCGGGTGAAGTCATTGGATGATTTCCACCTCTAAAAAACAAGAGCCATCTAGTACATTTCATAGAAACTCTAAAGTCGTAACATTCGTTCTTCAAGAATGTAACGTTTTTTGCTAAACACTTTTAATACGCCTTATACGGTGACGGTGTGCGTTACCCAGGCCAGATATTGTCGAAAATGGTCATTTGAATCTTATAGATAATTAGTTGTGCGGCTTCGCACATTTTTAAATTTGTTGCGCTTATAGATTTTTTTATTATTTCACAAAAACTCTTCCTGCTGGGGTAACGTTACCCCAGCCAGACCTCTTTCTTTCTAATTGGAATATTTAAATAATTACTAGCTATAAAATTAGTTGTCTAGATGAAGTAAATGTTGTGCCTTATTTTGTATTTGTTCATTCATCGGTTGCGAAGTCATTCGAGATTCTGTTGGGGTAACGTTTTTGGTTTTGCTAGATCTTTGAAATGGTTGAGCGGATTCTTATCATATTTTGTACATGGTGTCTTAGGAATTAGTTTAAATTTGTTCTGCAATTAAAAAAACTAAAATAATACATAGCTTCAAGGTTATTTTTTATTTAACCTAATTATCTATAAGATTCAAATGACCATTTTCGACAACGTCTGGCCTGGGTAACAAATAATGGTGGGTTTCAAATACTTTATTAAGTAAATAATATGCAAAATGCGGCGAGTGAAAGGGTCGTGACATAACATAACATCACACCTTTTATCCCCGAAGGGGTAGGCAGAGGTGCACATTATGCCACTATACAATGTAACACCCACTTTTCACTATTTATGTTATGAGTCCCATGTAATAAGGGGTGAGCCTATTGCCATATATCGGGCACAATTGCAGACTCCGTGCTACTAGGTACTGAGATTTTGAAACCCAGTAATAGGTACTTTGCCCGACCCGGGAATCGAACCCGAGACCCCTTGCACGGCAGGCAGCACTTGCGACCACTCGGCCAACGAGGCAGTGAACGGGTCGTGATTATTTTGAATTCCCATATGGGTAAATACAAATGCAACCTGAAAGTTACCGTGACGGCGTTCATGCCAACCATGACATATAAGAAAGAAATAAAACAAATAATGGTTTTTCAATATCTGTATTCAGTGCGCAGTTTTACAAAACAGGAACAAGTTGTAAGCTATCACTATCACTAAACTATTAAGGCAACTGTTGACAATCACTCGACTATCTACTAACACTGACAGTTATTGCAATCTATATTAAAATAACCATAAAAATTATTATAAAATAGTCGCAACTAAAATAAAATTAACATAACAATAAATATCAACCATCTACCAATTTTTATCAATAACAAATAATATATTTGTCAACTAAAAATCGCGGGTTACTCACGTAAATATTCTGTGAAAAGCTCTACTAGTTTCGAACCACAGAGGGGTTCTTCCTCATGAGCAGCGTGCGCGGTCGCGGCGATGTCGTGCAGCTCACTGCGCGGCGATGTCGTGCAGCTCACTGCGCGGCGATGTCGTGCAGCTCACTGGCTAGCGTTGGCGTTCGCATCGGTGTTGCTACTCGTACATGCGCATCTAGCCCAACGGGCCCTCTGCCTTTGTTCGAAACTAGTAGAGCTTTTCTCAGTATATTCACGTGAGCAACCCGCGATTTTTAGTTAATTTAGTATGTCTCACGATAGTTATAATAAAAAGATATTTGTCTTTTTAACGTAGTTGTAATAAGAGTTATTATTAGTCACTAATGTCGGAATACTCAAACGCTACTCAATTTTAAGTCGTGCTTAAGTATAGTTCTGCACTACAAATTCTTTGCAAAATGACAGAGATGGCACGATATTTGAGCACGACTTAAAATTGAGTAACGTTTCAGTATTCTTCTTTAAATGGCGTTAATGTAGCGTTAGGTCTGTTTAGTTCTGTAGCCCTCGCATAACAATAATCAAAAAAATCCTAAAAAATATTATTATTCGAAATAAATAAGACACACACAAAGATAAATAAATAACAGGAACAAACGATTTGTTCGTAGTTTTTTAAACAACTACTTTAAGTCATTGTAATAAAAATACTGAGAACTTTAAATGCAAGTTTTAATAAATCTACAATAGTGTAGTTGCCAGGGTAAGAAAATTAAAAATCTTATTAGTCCGTCAGTTAGATAATGAAAAAATAATAGACACGTATTTTTTTATTTTCTCGTATAAAGTTATAATACTTAAATAAAATGGAGTTAAGTTCAGGAGTGGGAGGTAGCTACGTCACAGCGTGCTACATTTTGTAGCACTCTGTGACATCACACGACATTTCAAATCAATATATAGTCGAAAGCATTTATTTTGTGAGAAAAGAAAAAATACGTGTCTAATGTTTTAAAACAATCTACCAGACGGACATTAGAATAAAATTTAGGAAACTAGCCTATTACTGTCTGCTATTGCTGTTTGTAATACTGCAGTATTATATAAAACTAAATAATGAATAAGTATTGTACTAATCTGACCTGTAAAACTACGATTCTAAGAAAAAAAAGAAAAGTAAATTTTAATTTTGGTCTAAGCTTTTTCGAGTTATGTAACATATATATCATTTTACAAAAAAAAATTGTGTTTAATTATATAAAACATTAAAATTAAACTTATATAACAAAAGAAACAATAAAATAACAATTAAATAGGGTAGACGACTGATTTTTATTTTAATGTCCGTCGGGTAGATTATTTAAAAACATTACACACGTATTTTTTATTTTCTTACGGAAACGAATACTTTCGACGATATATTGATTTGAAATGTCGCGTGACGTCACTTCTATGTACATTTTATACGTAGAAATGACGGTTTAGCCCCCACTCCTCAACTTTGATTCGTTTTATCTAAGTATTGTTTTATTATACGACAAAATAAAAAAATACGTGTCTAATATTTTTTTATTACCTAACTTACGGACTAATTATATTTTTAATTTTCATACCCTGTCATCATCCCCATTATACATAAACAATTTCATAAATAAACTCAATTATTGTCAGTATTAGTAAGTAGAAGCCACAAACTCGCTTACATCTCTACATGTAATAGTTATCGACATCGATACGTCATCCCATCTCTTTCAAACAACACAATGTGAGACAAGGACGGCAATGTTTATCAACTAAACTGGTGATGGATCGCACCAAATATATTATTTTTTATAAGATTTTATATTACAAGTGATTTTTATGATTTTCCAAACTAAATCAGAATTGCAAATTCGATGCCTTAACTCAGAATATCGAATAAAAATAGCCATATAACTTTGCTTGTCCTAGGAACTGATCCATTGTAATTTATTGGTTCAAAAAATCACTGGTACTAAAAAACCTACAGCAAAATTTTAAGTGTACTTTCTAATGACTACCTTATTGTCTACCATATATGTGCTAATTTTGAATTTCACCTAGTTTCGGTACAATCCATCGTTACAATAGTTAACTTATATCTAGAACCTACAGGAATGTCTAAATAGGTGCACTAGAGAATGCAAGGTAAACGCAATTCTTCCGCTTTACATTAAATCTTTGTTTACATCTTCACGCAAAATATTATTACATACTTTTAGTAAATATGATAATAGGTCAAGTTTATCATAGAGACCTTAACGATTGATCAATCATAAAAGATATTAATCAATCACCGTGGTCAGTAGCAGAGTATTAATATTATGATTAAAATCATGTTCTATGGTATGTATATTATTTTTAATGAAGATGTAAGCACTGGATTTTATCCTAAAATCTACATTAAGTTACAATAAATAAGTAAAAAAACATTTTTAAAATGTCAAAACAAATAAAAACCGATACTATTACAAAATATAAAAAGAAGAAAAAATAATAATTTTATTATTACAATTTCAATAACCCAACCCATAAAATTGATCAATCGTAAGACCTTAACGATTGAGAGATTGATAAATAAATAAATAAACAAAAATGTCATGATACATATGAGATTTCTAAAATTGCATGTGTATATTATTTATTGGTTAATATTAATAAAATATTTAACCATTATATCTACTTTTAAGTAAAGATTTTGCACTACGCGTTCAACGTATTAAATACATTAGGAATAGTCCTTGTATCGACGTTATACTTTGTCCGACACAGGGTTCAAACCCGAGGCCTCGTGAGTTAATGGTTAATAAGTACATGTTTTAACTATCGGAATAAATGTTCTCACTAATATTTGCATTTAACAGCCAAAACTAACACTATGTCATATAAATAGTAATCTTGAGAAATTGCACTAACTATTATGTTATACAGTATGTACCAGAAATCAATATCGAGTAGGAAAAGTCAAAGTCAAAATCATGCATTTCAATAAGACCAGGAAGGCACTTTTGAACGTCAAAACAAAATATTGACATATTAAAAAAATGGCAGGGTGATACACTAATTGATGGTAGTTATTACAACAAAAAATACATAATAAATAATACTTAATTAAAAATAATGTATCTTTTAATAGTTTCTGGCAACTTCGTTCTGTTTTGTTTCCTTAGACGTTTGTTACCATCACCAACTAATGTCCTATCGTCAATTCCAACTCAATATTGATTTCTGGGACACTGTATATTACATTACTGTGTGAAAATGTTGCCAGTACAAAAATAAACCAAACGCTGGCAACATTTTAATAAATAATTAAAATTTTTATGTTAATAAAATAAATTATAACTTCCTTCCACTGTTGTATAGTAAATATATTTTCGTGTACAATTTTGACCTTTATTTCTTGCTCCATAGAAAATATTTAATTAATACCAAGGTATTGCACCAAGCTATTACGTAAGGTATTCCACTGGTTTTCTAAACCTACCAGAAGTAGTGAAAAAGCAACCATTTAAGAAATGCAATAGAGAACTATATTTATCTCTGTTACACAACCACAAATAATAGGTAAAAGAAAGGGACAAAATATAGTTTACTCATACAGTGTTTAAGTACTGTTTAGCTTATATTTTAAGACTATTTTGAGGCGTACATTAGGCAATAAATAAATAAATAGCTAGGCGGTATTAGGGTCTCACTTATCTTCCATTGCGTTCTTAAGCTCCATGGCTAGTTTGTAGCCTAACTCCGGTCGCCTGTCGCGGCCTTCCACCATGGCTATGACCTGGAAGAGTTTATTTTGGAAATTAATGACATGTAAATCATAACATCATCATAACATTACGCCTTTTATCCCCGAAGGGACATGCAGAGGTGCACATTATGCTACTGTACAATGTGACACCCACTTTTCATTACTTCATCTAGACAATTAATTTTATAGCTACTAATTATTTAAATATTCCCATTAAAAAGAAAAAGGTCTGGCTGGGGTAACGTTACCCCAGGAGGAAATGTTTTTGTGAAATAATTAAAAAATAAGCGCAACAAATTTCGAATCAAGAAAATATACAGAGTACTACAAACCTCATCAGAGTTGACGATGACTCCATTGTTGTTGACGATGGTTGCCTTGGTCTTCTCGATGTCAGCGAGGTCCACGCCGCGACTGGCGTCCTCTATCAGGATCGAGCGGTAACCGATGGCTAGGGCGTCTGCTATCGTTGCTCCTGATAGCAATAATAGTTAAAGGTGAATTAAAAAAAATGGAAGGATATATAATTTAATCTCTGTATAGCCAGTTAGTTAAGTTAGTCCTATTGTAATAGAAAGCGAGTGAATCAGGATTGTGTTTCGTCGTGTGAGTGAGGTTACCGGAGGCCCAATTACCCCTCTCCCCTTCCCCAATCTCCCCAATTCCTGAATCCCCAACGATCCTCAAACTCAAATCCTAATCCCCAGAAGGCCGGTAACGCATTTTTAACGCCTCTGGTGTTCCAGGTGTCCATGGGCGACGCCGATTGCTTACCATCAGGTGATCCGTATGCTCGTTTACCGGATTATCCCATAAAAAAATACTACAGAATTGTGTTGAATTATTTCGCAAATCGAACTCGGATGTCAAAGTCGAAGTCACTTGCTGCTTGAAGTGCAAGGCACTAATATAAATGACCCGTTCGAAGAATGCACAAAAAAGGTTAATTGCAGCGTTCAAAGATTGGTGACATTTTGAAGCCGATTTTCTAAAAAAAATATGAATATAAAAAGGTGTAGTGTAACTTCTAACAATAAAAAAGACCAAACCAGTCATTTGAAATCCACCTTTAACGAAATAACAATAAGGTGACAAATAACTTACCCACGCACACATCATAAGCCAGTCCACAGATGTATATATCAGTGGCGCCCCTCAGTCGCAGCTGGTTCCCCAGACTGGTGTCCGTCAGCTTCTTGTTATCCCAGAATACAGAGTAAGAGTCCACCTCGGGGTTGGTGCCTTTGTAGATCTTTACTGCGCCGTCCATTATCTGGTTAAAGGAGGGAGGAGGGTGTTAGTTAGACCTTATTTTAGTCACATTTTGTTTCTGGATCGGCAAACGAGCAGATGGATCTGATCTGATGGTAATTTATTAAGTCAATAAAATATAGTAACAAATGTGTTGTTTATTCTTGTCTGTTGTCTCTGTTACTAAGATCAAAAAGTGGAACTATAGTTAAGGATTGCTATTTATTGTTTTCATTGCTGTCTCCCAAGGATACATAGTTAAAGATTTAAAGCTATGAGTACACAAAACCAAGCACACTCATCAATAATCATCAACACCATAAATGGAAATCAGTTATGTCCTAATTTGAGCTCTCTTAAGCTAATCACTGAATTGGGTAGTTTCCAGGGTATCAAAATTAAAAATCTAATTAGTCTGTCAGTTAGATAATGAAAAAATATTAGAAACGTATGTTTTATTTTTTCGTATTAAGTTGCAATACTTAGATAAAATGGCGCTAAGTTTAGGAGTGGGAGGTTGTTACGTCATAACGTGCTACAAAATGTGCCACACTGTGACGTCACACGATATTTCAGATTAATATATCGTCGAAAGTATTTAATTTTGTGAGAAAAGAAAAAATACGTGTCTAACGTTTTAAATACCAGACGGACATTAAAATAAAATTTAGGAAACTACCTTATTGGTAAATACGCCGCGGGCGCCCTTTACCCTCTCCCGAAATGATACGTAATTATCATTTTTGCACAAACTCCCCAGATTTGTTTAACAGCCAGCTAGAGGCACCATCATCGTACTTCAGTAACATTGTCTGGTCATTTGGTGCCCATTCATCTTACCTTGAGGTCCTTATGCAGCTCAGCGCCCCATGTGTCCTGCACGCAGTGTCGCGGCCACAGTCTCTGCTTCATGGGCGGTGGACCTGCGAACACAACCGTGTCGTACGCCTGCGCTTTGTCTGCTGGCACCTGGAAACCAATGTAAGTAAAATTAATGGACATCAATATGGTGTTATAAGGTATATTTGTATTGAAGTTTTATTGAAATTTTAATAGGGTAGTTGCCTAAATTTTATTTTAATGTTCGTCTGGTAGATTAATGTAAAACATTAGACACGTACTTTTTCTTTCCTCACAAAATTAAATGCTTTCGATGATATAATAATCTGAAATATCGTGTGACGTCACAATGCACTACATTTTGTAGCACTTAGTGACGTAACGACCTCCCATTCCTAAACTTAACTCCATTTTATCTAAGATTTAGATATTACTGTAACTTTATACTTAGATTTTTAATTTTGTGGATGTGGTGGTGTGTGTGTACATAACATAGCAGATTAACATTTTACTTGAAACATACACTATTTTATTTGGTCAGTACGTCCTTGTAAAATTCCTACATTCTCTAGATGACAAAAGTCAAAATCAACCCAATTCTCGAAAGCTCTTCACTATTAACAGGAATCAATTACAAAGGTAAGTCGTGTGTCTGCCGGATATCGATTGCCTTGACGTGATGAAGTAACAAAACACTGTAAGCGGCCCGCGCTGCCAGTGACTGAGCACGCACGGGGAGCGCGCCTACTTGTGACGCAAGGGAATAGGGCTGCTATTGTACGGTACATTAGAGGACTTCGGCTACAAGTTTGCTAAGGCAAATTACAATATTCTTTGTGTCAATAAAGTCAATGTTCTCCTTTTTAACAGCATTTCTGAGCAGGTACTTTTTGCTTGTTAATCTTCAAATTGAAGTTTTTACAATAACCTATCGATGACACAACACCAAGAATAATATTTGACTTTTTTTTTAAGGGGGGAAAGTCATCGAATGACTGCTCCCGCCTGGGTGAGGCGGGAGGGAGTGTCAGACTCTTACTGACTAAAAACCACCCCGTTCCTTCTCCTGCACGTCAAGCAGGAGCTCCGGTAACCCGTTAGGTTCTCCGCGACAATAATATCAGACTAAGCTGATGATATAATGCAGTCTAAAGTCAAAGCATTTATTTCAAGTAATCCTTATTTAGGCACTTTTAAAACGTCAAAATTGAATTGTCCGTCCATCTACAAGCAGACTATAAAACTTTAGTTTTCAAGTTGATTAATAAAATTAATTTGCTTGCAACCTTGTGTTTTAGCAGCTATAAGTACTTGTTCGGCAGTCAAAACGTTTAACACAGTATTTTGTAAATAAATTCTATTTTACTCTTTTTCTCACACATTTTGCAAATACATTTTTCAAATGTGGGAGAGCCATGCTTCGGCACGAATGAGCCGGCTCGACCGGAGTGATACCACCGCCTCACAGAAAACCGACGTGAAGCAACGCTTGCGTTGTGTTTCGTCGTGTGAGTGAGGTTACCGGAGGCCTAAAGATCTAATTACCCTCCCCTTCCCCAATCTCCCCAATCCATGAATCCCCAACGATCCTCAAAACACCTCTGGTGTTCCAGGTGTCCATGGGCGACGCCGATTGCTTACCATCAGGTGATCCGTCTGCTCGTTTACCGGCTTATGCCATAAAAAAATATAAATTCTAAGTCGGAGGCAACCCTTGCACAGTTATCGAGGTCAAGTTCGAAGAGATCCTCAAAAAGTTTGTGCCATTAAATTTTATTGACATTTTTATGGAGATTTAGACGAGGGACCTAAATTGCCACTCCAACATTTATTGATTGTTCAGGATTTTCGAAGAGAGGATATCTATTTTAATAACTGAGGTCTTGTTGTGTGTGTGACCTGGCTTAGTGGTAAGGCTGGTAAGTGATATTTAATGTGTTGAAAGAAGACTGTTTTTGCAATAGCCCAATCTTCAGCCCGAAGCCTCTCCTTATGGTGTGGAGGCTACTATAACACCCACGCTTGGTAGTTGAGTTAAGCACTCGAGGATTGAATTTAAATGACACAGTGGTGTTGCCCATCTTTCGATGGCTGGTTGCACAGTACCATAATCCCCGCTCCCTGATTACCACTATCAAAGTCGACAAAATAGGATTGTACTCAGGTCCTAATAAAAACAATAATCAAGGACTTGTAACTGGTGACTCACCGGGTTGGACGGATGCAGTTCCCTCATGTGTACGTTGTCGATGAAGGAGACGTGATCAGGTGGATGCCAGTCCAGGGAGTAGAACACAGCGTCGAACGGCACCGTGTCCAGCAGTCTGTTGATTGGTTCTATCACCTGGAACAATGGAAGACGACAATTTACCACAACATAACAAAGACGACAACTTTCCTTAATCAAAAATAAATTAATTCCGTTCGACTGTTAAAAAATACATTATATTTAAATAATATTCACACTTTCATTAATTGATTTTATGACAACTTAATTTTAGTATTTCTCCAGCAAATTTTTAAGAAATAAGTATGCTGTTTGACGCTAAATAAACGTGACGTTACACAATCTCGTACAAAATTCATAGAAAACTGTCGTTTTTGACAGTTCGAAAAAGTATTGAAGTTGGTAGGCATTCTTGGTTGATATTGGGCTGGCAGACCGAACATTCGTAACGTGTAGGTATTCCGCATTTAATCTTAACTCGTCGAGTACCGTATTTATAGACACAATTAAAGAACAATAGGTTGCGGTCACCGGTGACCGCTTGGTGTTTGACAGTTAAGTCCAGGTTTATGACAAAGAAGTTATTTTTCTCCAAACACAGCTATGTTTAAATAAACTAATACATTTTACTTTAGTTAGTAAACGATGTGAAAAAGTCACATAACTGGCTAGGTTTCGAAATAGCATCTATAACGCTACAACTTTAGCGAACCTAACCTTAACCTCTAGGCCCTAGGGTTTAGAATCTAGTCGAAATGATGTTCTAAAATGATTTCAGCTTATAATAAACATAATATTATATTATATATATATATATTTTTTTTATTTAATATTATAGATTATTTCTCCACGGACTCTAGGTCCGTGCCCTTGTCATACAGTTTTTTAATTATAATACATCTAGTCAATTTTTATAAAGTAAAGAGGGAACCTAGTTACATACTACAATTAACTACATCTATAATTATTAGCAAAAGTATAGGTTACATAATAATTAGGCACTATTTATTTATTTCTATTTCAAAGGCTTTATGAAACCAGCCCACCAACAAGATGGGATGGGATTATATTATATTAGTTACACAGTTTCGTAAAACTATATTAAACCAGTTATGAAATACGCCTACGTCTAGTTAACCGAGCAAATTGGCAGTCTCGTCGACCTTCTACATAGCGAAGCATATACAGTTAGGTTTAAGTATAGAACTTACCACAATTTCATCTAGGCTATAACGTCACGAGGCAATTTATTTAACAACAAAATCAATTTCTGAACATAATGATATGGTTATATTCATTCAATAATGTTATGTAAATTGTGCCCTGTCGTCCAATAGGATACTTAATGTATGTCTAGGCTGAAATGTAGGCCGTAATACAGACTGAAACTAGCTCGGCATTGAAACGGATATAAATAGGAACTTGTATGAAGATGTTTTGACGTCAAACGATAAAGTCTGCTTTACTTGCGTAGTAGGAAAAAATATTAAAGGAAAGAAAAGTCACAAAGCTGGGTTTCCTAGTACATGGAACTTATACTGTAAAGAACTGGCCAACAGTAAGTGTTACAATTAATACTATAGTAAACATTTGTAAAGTGGTATCATGTTGTTCAAATTTAAAGGAAATGTTTATATTATAACTTTCGTGAGACATACTAAATTAATTATCATGTTTTTCGGTTTACTCACGTAATTATTTAACCCCTCGAGCGACCTTATGAGCACCCGGTGGATCATAAGAAAAAATGCTCCTTGCTGCTTTCTCTTTTATAAAATCTATTATTAATGTTTTGTTTTTATTTTGACTGACGCGGACGCTGGACGGGTTAACGAGGAACTCGACTAGTTTCAAGCCATGCTAGGGGCTCATATTCATGACCATTCCGCGACATAGCCCGCGACATTACGCGAACAACATAATAATTAATGTAAAGAAAATTATTAATTCTGAGTTGGAGTAAACATTGAATCAGCTTGTTCATATTTGACTACTAAAGCTCAAAAGGTTTCATCTGAATTAATCGATTACGGATTCCGAAAAAGGTTTCCAATTCATTAACCGACCATGAAAGTAAAATACAATAAACTATCCAACCTAGATTTGAAACTACCAAATCACAAAAACAGAAAAGACTCGCACAAAACGATAGAAAATCGACAAATACATAAGAACGACTAACCCACTAAATCATACAGCGAACAGTTAGCGTGCCCCTTCAAAAATATTGCTACAAAAATGCGAATCACAAAATTAATCATACGGGTAACCTTTAACCATTCATTTGTGAAATTGTGAAGTATAAGTATCAATGTGACCCCAATAGTCAGTGCTATTACTTACCACAATGCGCAATGAAACCATCAGTCAACCATGGCATGGCAATTGATGGCGCATTGTGGCACGACCACCATTGACAATAAGTCAACCACCGCCGCCAATAACCACGTTTTCAATGTAAATTAACAAATTTAATCATCTTTTGTGCAAACATTTGGGCTCCGGAAACCTATTGTTAGCGTTTATAAATAATTTATTTTAATATTAACTTTGGAAATTAGTTTCGGAAATTACTTCCTGTTAATTTTGTCTTTGTAGTTTAATTTTCTATTAAATGTAGAATTAATTTAATCGCCATCATGTTTATTTTTGATGGAAGTCTAGACCCAGGTAGGGCTCAGGTAAAGTCATAAGTGGAAAAAGGCTGTTAAAAGCATCCTGTTTTAACTGTGTACCTAAAGAGTTCTTTTAAAAAAACCGTCTTGAACTCCCTCGTTTTTTGAGGTATTCATAAAGTCTTGTACTAATTGTAACAAACACATTTATGAAAATCGCATCAAAATCGGTCCTGGAAATCGCGAGATAAACGCGCACAAACATCTCACACAGACTCAAACAACTTATGGTGTATTTATTTTATTGAGATGTATTTAGATAAGATTTTTTTTCCAATGTAGGGAGAGCCTGAGTACTAACTACTAGGGTTAGGGATTACCTAATACTTTTTGAGCTTTTTCTAACTATAAATAGGTACTTGTTAAATTACACTGTTAGCAGCAATAAAACAATAAATCATAGTCGGATTTATTTCACTTGGATTTATTATAATAATGTTGTGCAGAGTGCTCGACGTTTACATACACCAGAGTATGGCAGATAGACAGCAGCATTATTGACAAGTGTCGTTCCTTATATGTATAATATATTATAATGAGAGAGCCACTACTTACTAAAATAGTGATGTTAACACATACATGTAACAATAGATATACAAGCTTTTAACATTAACCTAAGTAATTACTTAATCTAAATAAATATGTTTGTTCACATGTCGCGAGCCTTTTATCTAATTTGCTACTAATGTTCTATTAAGCTTCAAGGTTATATTTTATTTTTAGGTATCTTGTATGAAAACAAATTTAAATTGATGTCGGAAAGTCCCCACATTGTATGTATTTAACTTTTGTAAGTCTTGGAAGTCATGTCAGCCATGATTCCATGTCTCTAGAAAGAAATAACGCTCTTACAACCCACTAAGTGATAATTTTTAATTGACATTAAAAATTACACTGGCTCGACCGGAATACCACTAATACCACGGCCTTACAGAAAACGATGTAAAGCAACACTTGTGTTGTGTTTCGTCGTGTAAGTGAGGTTACCGGAGGCCCAATTACCCCTCCCTCCTCCCCCAATCTCCCCGATCCCTGATTACCCAACAATCCTCAAACCCCTAATCCCCAAAAAGCCAGTAACGCACTTGTAACGTTAGCGCCTCTGGTGTTGCGTGTGTCCATGGGCGACGCCGATTGCTTACCATCCAGGCGGTCGGTGTGTTCGGTTACCGGCTTATCCCATAAAAAATAATAGTTGTATAATTAAATTAAATCTCCAAAAACAAGTTACAATTCATTTACATTTTCTGTACATTGTTTCATTGGCCGAGTGTCGCAAGTGCGACTGCGGGGCAAGGGTTCTCGGGTTCGTTGCACGGGGCGGGCAAAGTATTACTGGGTTTAAAAAAAATTCTCAGTAGTAGCACGGAGTTCGGAATTGTGCCCGGTATATGGCAATAGGCTCACCCCCTATTACAAGAGAATCATAACATAAATATTGAAAGTGGGTTTTACATACAGTGGCATTAAGTGCCGTAATGTGCAACTCTGCCTACCCCTTGGGGGAAGGCGTGATGTTATGTTTCTATAGACGACCTCAATAACTAGGATTCTCACTATTCAACATAATCTAAAAATCTAGATTCTTTAAAGTAGGCCACGGCAACCCACGAAACCGCATCATCGAAACAGTACCACCAAAACTCCAGACACCAACTTAAGATTCAACCTAAACAATCTTGAATTAAAGTTGAAAATGCATCACTAAACTTGACAGCTTCACTTTGATGTGCAAGCTTGTCTTCAGAACGCCAGCGTATCAACTTCTAAAAACTTTCAACCTTTCAATCTTGCAATAAAGTAGAAAATGCATTAACGGAACATGCCAGCGTCGGTATACGTCGATGTGCAGCTTCTCTTCAAAGTTCCTCAATTAATCAATGCGGTACAAAACGGTGCATGTGGTTTCATTTCCCCAACAAATTACCTTCGGTTTCCTTCTGCAGTGACCTTGGAGCTATGCAGTTCCTTACCATCATGAACTAGTACCACGGAAACCACTGATACATCGATTTTTACCTACTTTTGTTAGTAGGTAGTATTTTTTTAGTCGAGGTATTATTTGGCAATGTGCCTATGACGGGTTTTACAAGGTCTCACGAAGGTAAGAAGTTTTTTTAAAGGTTGGTTCCGTCTCTAAATCGGTGTAAGTTATTTTTTATTTTTTGTGAAAATTTTGCAGTTTGAAGGTTTATGCTTAGTGAAACTGAAACCACATAATAAAGACCTTCAAAGTCTCAAAATCAAGCTGAAAATAATTTAAACCTATAATAGAAAAACGTTGCCGCACACGATGAAAAAATTCTGTAAAATTCTATTTCTTTGCTTTCTGATAAAATAAACCTAGAAGCGAGATTGAATCAATGCAAAGCAAATAATCAAACTTAACGCAAACGATTAAATCATCCCTTAATTTCAATTAACTCTTCAACTGTCAAGTTT